TATTACCCGCTTATGCCAGAAAAGCAAATGAGTTCATCCACCACCCAACACATCCTCACCAATAGATGTCTAACGTTTTAAGCCCTGTTTGCTGTGTTTACTATGCGTTTAAATGCATACCTGCTCATTATCAGATGTGTTTTACTTGAGAAGTAAAACTCCAGTTAAGATAACCTGGGGAAGGGCTGATGCTTCTCAACGTTCGTTAACGTTTGCTAGCTATCGAAACAGTGACGCCGTTGGGCCTAAATACACACAGCTCACTACATCAAATTAAATGAAATGACAACTTGGGTAATGTGCATTTTGGTGACAACCCCAGTAATGGTTGTTTAAAATGTTTACCAAAAAATTAAAACATTACACAAGCAGTACGTTTGTTTACGTTTAGCTAGGTAGCAGCTATTTACTCAAAACAAACTGACAAACTGCTGTCATGACTGTTAGCCAGCTAGCTTGTTTTGGATATCAGCCGGTGTAAGTGTACTTTTTCGAGTCCAAGTGTAGAGTGTCTCAATTTCAGTGTCAATGTGTCAATGTTTGGCTAAAACACAATGTCCAGAGCACCCGGAGTGCAAATCCCCCGCGCAAGGGTGAAGTAACGTAACATTAGCTTAGCTGACACGGATAAGCTAGGGAAGTCAAAGCCCAAATGCTACCTAGCAAACTGACCCCCATAACAGGTAGCACCCAAATTAAGGAGCTCCTGGCATCTTGTTTGTAGTCAAAACATTGTCTAGTGTGACAAAGGTCTAAATAGCTCATGAATCATGAATATCTTTTAACTTTATGTATTGCTGCTATTAACCGACGTACCGATGAGCAAGGGTTAATGTTAGCTTACGGTCGTTAGCTCTGTTAGCAGCACAAATGACAGACCAGCTTCTTAGATATATATCTTTTTCACGTTAACCACTCACCTTCCTTGATTTATCCCTTGCTCTTTATCGCTGATAGCAGTGGTATAAATCCGTCTGTATCTTTCCGCCAGAGCTCGTCCTGAGAGTAAAAGCTGGTACCGAGTCCGACAATCCGACTGGGCTCCGGGTGTCGGACAAGAACCCATACCCGAACCAATGGTGGAGAGATCGGCTCCTGCTCCAGAAATGACCCTGACACCCAGCCCCATCGACGGTGATGAGGAGGGCAGAATCCCACCACCGGCGGCCGCTGCCGCAGCAGCACACATCATCGTTTTGGAGAACAATGCATATATCACTCAAAAGATATCACAGCTAGATGATATCTAGCCATCAGATACAATCCGCTTGTCATTAAATCCTCCACATGTCACATCATTTCCCCATTCCAACTCGCTGAAATACCACAATTAGCATCCACGGTCCACGGTTATTACAAGCGCAAATTGTAGCCAGTCTGGTGGTGCAACTACGGTCTTCCGATCCGGCCACAGCGTCAACACGGTGCTTGTCGTATGAAAATATATCTTCTCAAGCCATAATAGATTTTCTTTTAAAATCGCAGAAACGGCACCATTCATTTCCAAAAACCGCGTTGTCGTGTTTTGGTTTTATTCGCTCCTTGAATATTTCTTGACCCCGAAGAGGCAGCACCCTCAGTTGGGCTGCCATCTTAGCTTCATCGTCCCTCCCCTCCCTGGCTAAAATTGCGTCGCTAGCATGCCGGGATATTTTCATACGACCAAACCGAGCGATGCTATCATTGATTTATTTGAACAATGACCTCCCTGTATAGAAACATACTGATGTATAGCTACATTTTTAAAAACACAAATCGACATTCGCGGAGGTGAAATATATCATAACAGACAGAGAATAGAACCATATGGGTTATTTTGCACACTGTACAGTTTGAATCTGGACATTTGATTAGCAGAGGTTCATCCAGAGCCCCTCCCAGTTTGATCTAAAATTGGCTCTGAAAAGCGATTAAATGTTTTGTTGCCCACAAAAAAAGCACTGAAGCTCTGGTGTGATTTCTAAAAACAGTGTTGCATTATGTTAATACTGCTTTGATTTTATACTTCACAATTCCCTCTCTGCCACTGTCAGTTACAATCCATTTGCTACTTTAATACCATCTGCCTGGAATAAGGGTAAGTGTTTGCATTCCACCTCCTTCTCCAGAGACCATAGAGTAACTGTGAAATGTTGCCCTTTGATCTCAGACATGTCTTCTAAAACAACTCATCAGTTTGCGCAAGGGGTTGCAGCTACCTTGTGATGAAATCGTCTTAACGATACAGTGGTCTTCTTCACTGAGCAGGCCTACAGAGCCGTGTCCTGCATATAGTCCTATTTACCTACTGCTAATGATGTGCCTTTTTGTTATGAATGTAGATGATGTAGCTCATACTCAATGAGATAATAAAAGCACTATATGTTTATTTCTGCCTAAAACTAAAATAGAATTGGAATATTGAAGTGCCTCAGTAATGCAACATGCAGATTATCATGATGGCAATACTTGTATTTTCATTATCCTACTGACAGGGGTGAGACAAGGGTGCAGAAGGAGCAGAAATACTGCAGGAGGGGGAAAATGGGAGATACTGTGAGTTGGGTTATATCAATCAAAATGGTGGTAGAGGCCAAAACACACTACAAAGCAAAGATGGACACAGAAAACAGTTGCAGGCCGTGCAGATTTCACAGAAATGCACATAATACGTTCCTTACACATGTACTGTATGTTTGACTGAGAACATGTATGTACACGTGTTCAGTAAGTACGTTTTCCGAACGTTTTATTTTATACTCTCGGATCTCCCTGCAGTCAAATTGAAATGTATTGTCATCTCTTTAAAAAGGTGGTATAAATGTATGTACATGTGGATGCGCATGTATATTTATTGAGAGAGAGAGAGAGAGTGAGAGGAAGAGATTTACACAGGCCCTAGTGGTGCTTTATTGGCTGCAAGGCATTGCAGTAGCCCAATGACAAGAGAGGGGTCGGACTACAGTCTCTTCTCATAGCAACCCAGGAAGCATTCGGAGATTATCATGCGCAGTATCAGAGTATCAGCATGTATCAGTGATGGCAACAGAAGAATTTATGAACATAAAACTGAGGGATTGTGCTATTAGTGTTTTAGTGTCAAATATTATAAGTGAAAAGGAGCTTAGTTGAAATGTATTGTAATGATCTACTCTAAAAGCACCATAAATATGCTGGATCACAAACTGCTGACATTCACTGTCCCTCCTGTCCTCAGTGGTCTTTAGGTAGAACGTTATAAAAAAAGAGAATAATCTGATGAGAAAGACGCAGTCCCATTCAGAGGCTGCTCACTTAACCCCTGGTTGCCTCAGCCCTGTCCAGTTACAGGACGAATGGAGGCAGGATATCTAGGCCAAGATGATGACATAGGTCGGGCAACAAACGTGCGCAGAACTGGCAGAAATGAAATCCATTTGTCGTCAACACATCCAGGAAGCAGGGCCAGTATAAGAGTCTGAATAGGTTGTTCGACTAATATGAAAGTGTGTCAGTGTCCTGACATCATAGTTCTTAGTCTGTCTCAGTTCAAAATCATACTCACGACTATCCCTTTCAGTCGCCAGCATAGAACAGGTTACACTAATTTCTGCTCCTTTGACTAAATGAGAAGAGAATCATCAGGACATGTTTTGCCAGGAGCAACTTGTTATATTTATTTATTTTAATAGAGCTGCACAGCCAGTATTGTTATTTCCACCATTGCAACTCTAGCACCACCAAGTGCCAGTGATTTCCACTTGAATATATACAGCCATGCAGTAAAGTCAGCAGGAGATTATTGTTGGCTAATGAATGAATGACAATAATGCCAGTTTTCTACATTCAGGATTGATTTTGGGACTTTAAGTTAGTTTACATGCCTTAAATTAGCTGAGAATGTTAAAGTGAATTGGCTAAATATATAGCGTTTTCTTTGAAATGTGATATTCGGCCACGCTTGTTCATGAGGAAATACCTGTCTATTAGAAATGTGCCATGGCCTGTTGACATTTAGCCTCATAGTTTGGTCATTGTAGTGCAGTCTGCATTCCTTGAGTTCCATCATTGTCACTAGGAGGGGTTCACCTACCAGTATCAGGCCGTCACACCCTGGCATGTTATGCACCGTTCAAACCTTGGATTGCCCAAAACAAGGCACTCCTAGTAATGACGCTCACATTCACAGACACATTTATAGTTTGGATGTCAATTAAGTTTTACATTTACTCCTGATGATTTAGACCTCGAATGAATGAACCTCTGTCTGTATAATTACACATGATATTAAATGTCATTCAGTAGAAGTTTCATTCAAGCATAAAGATGTGGTGAGACGTGCCGAGGCATCAGTGGACAGTGGTGTGTTGTTTGCCTATCCTGTGTGTTTAAGTTTATTTCTGATTGACTGTTGAAGTGTAACTCATCTCAGATATAATGACATTTATCGGACTTCAGCGAAACCTTTGACCTGAGAGTGAAAATCAAATTGAAACTACCTTATCTTCCAGTAGTTTTTTTTTTAGCATACATGTGTAAGTAAAGTCCACTGTTAACCAGGTATTGTATGAAAAAGACAGCAGGAGAATTATACACAGGCATAATGGAGGGTAATGCTTTGGAAGGGGCCCTGTTCTCACGCTTTACTTGTATTATATCACAGTTAATAAGGTTAAAATATTATAAATAGGAGATTCCTATTTAATGATGTCTCAATGAAATTATATTCCACTCAGTTCAGGGCTATAGTAAATCAGAGAAGCACAAAATCCCACACCCATGTTACAGTTCTGCTTCCTTGACACTAAGTGACACTAAGTTGTTGAATTACAGGTCCTTCAGCACCCCACCCAAGTCATTTTTTCTCTCCAACTTACAAACAGAAAGCAGAGCAATTAATAAGACATAAATGGAGATGATGGAAGGAGTGAGATTGTGTTCTTTGATTGTCGTGTGAAGCCACACCCATGGGTGGCCTTGGAATCTCCTCCCCTGGTCGTTAAAGCAGGAGGAATGACAGGGCTGCGATTGCACACTGCAGAGTGACAGACAGGTGTTGGGAGCTGAACTATAGTGAGAGTTTATTGTTTTTTCACAGTAGAGTCCCAGAGCTTTCTGTGGAGGTACGTACAGTCTCTTTCTGAATCCTTTGTCAGTTTCTAGTTTCAATTAATGTGTGTGTGATTTACATGAATGTGAAATCGTAGATGGTTTTAATGTGTGGTACTGAGTTCTTTGAGACAGCGTGTTCTGCAGTGAGGTTCGACGGATCCTGAAAAAATAGATATAAATCCATATGGTATATGAGGATCATGTAATGGTGTAACTTTAACTGTAGTAAATTCATTACGAAATGTACTTTTTTTGTGACTTTACTTGTATGGAAATGAATGTCTTATTGATACATTCATACACGACATGGGGACATGACACACACGTACACACACTCTCGGGTTTCTGCTTATATTGCTTAATATTAACCTCACAACTGCCGTAGAGTCCTTGCAAATATTAGAAATGAGCATTTTTACAGCGCTAGTCTGTACAGTTGAACAGCATGTTCAGTCTTGAAAAAGTTTTCAGTTGCCAAACAACATTAAAATCTGCCACACAATATCATAAAGTCAGAAAATATTTTGAGGACGATTTCAGGATTCGACTGTGTGTTTGAATTATACATGTATAATTTTTTTCTAAACAAAGCTCGAACTCTCAATAGCAGGGATTTTACCAAATCTGTCTTAGAATAATAATTTACGGTTTATTTTTGAGAATGGCCATCAATCTCTGTAATTTAGAAAGATCCAAGACCAGTTCTGTTGGCCTGTCAAACAAGGGATACAAAACTACTTCACCCAAGCCAAAATAATGTAGACAACCCCAGTACTGAACAGGTCTGAACTCTGTTTTGGGACAAATAAATGTCATCAGTCACTAGATTGTGTGTCTGATAACTGGACATGTTGCGTTCACAGTTATAACTTCCCTCACGGCTGTAGATATCTGCCCTCAGACCTCTGACATGAAAGTATTTGTGCTGGAGTGTGGAGTGTAGTCGAAAGGGCACTATCTTTATCATCGATAGTTAATGGCATGTTACTGGTACGCCCCTCTATTTTGCTGACAAAGGTGTGTTTGGACAAGGTGTGTTATGGAGGGTGGGTGTGTCTTCAAGTGGGTTCAGATCAAGACAAACCAGTTTAGGGCTTAATCAGCGAGTCTGGGGTTGAGCTGAACTTAAGTTGATGCACTTCAGACAGAGAGACAAACCCAGCGTGATGTTCACAGAGCCAGCCTGATGAATATGTGCATATAGGTGTTTATGCAGAGACAAAATGATACTGTGGATTAAAAGCACTGACTCATTAGCTTTGTGAGTTGAGCTTTACATGTATACCGATCTCAGGTTAAACTTCACACTCACTGTACAGTTCAGCGTATGAAAGCTCTCAGCACACAGTACCACCTAGTGGCTGATATACTGTAGTTTCATTATGTGACGAGTTCCCTTCTTGTTCTTTCACACTGAACAGGTGAAGTTACAAGATGAGCAGGTATACGTCCCAGACATGTAAGTATTGAGAAATATCAAATAATGAAATAATAAAAAAAGATTTAGATTCCATGTAGTGCCAATACTGTAGAGGTGAGATTCAAGGTGCAAAGGTTATACTTGTCACATGATGCTCATACAATAAACAATTTGAGACTAATGCACACAAGAAACAGAAGATGTAAACATGAAACAATATAAAATGTATATATGAAAAAATAACAATAAAAAATAACAGCATTTTCCTGTCATTTGTGTTATGTGCTAGGAAGACTTGTGTACAATAAAATGATTATAATAAGAGCAGAAATTAGATAAAGAAATTAGAAGGATTGAAATTCAAGGAAAAAATATGTATATGATGTTGACATATGTCACAAAAAAAATTTAAGCTCTGTAAACTGCTCACAATCACAAAACATCCAGTCAGCTATTCTATTTCTCCACAAATATATCAAATTATAGAAGCTGAGTCAAATGTAAAAATGATTAGGTATGTACCAGTTCTCTGTTGTGTCACATTAATTCAGATTACATTTTGTCTGCGGGAGACCCATTCATACTTTCCTTGTCTTATGTTTGCAGCCAGGAGCACCAGGCCCAGCCAGGCAATCGAGGACAGCAAGAAGAAGTCATCTCTCCTGAAAGACAACAGCTGGATCAAAAGAGCTGATGATGAGGATGAAGATGTTGAGTAAGTCATGTAAATCATAGAAGCTGAAATGCAAGAACTCTATTCTACATGCACATGAGCCTCAGCAATGGCTGGAACTGTTGGGTATGACTTGTTCATATCTCAACTGAGTCAGTCTTTCATCTTAAAAAAGGCCTCCCACTACATTCCTTCTGGAAATCACAGTGTTGAATCATCTCTGGGAGTGAGAGTGAATTCATTTTTTTATCCTTTTGAACTCCTTCAGCCGGGACCCAAACTTCGGCAAATCTGTTCTGAACCGGTACAGATCCAATGAGTCTCTGGAGAGGTAAAACAAATGTTTCAACTTTTCCTCAAATAACGGGCAAAATAATGGATATCTATCACTTACTATGGTGAACGGGGTGTAACGTAAATGATATTTTCAGTCATTAATCCTGTTAATTAATGTAATTTATTTTATGTTGCTCATAGTTCAGGGGGTGAGGAAACAAAAACCACCAAAACCATAAGCACGTCAACATCTGTGCACGCTCTCACCAAGAGGTATCATTTTACATAAACATACTGGCGTCTTTTAACAATACTAATGCTTGAATCTACTGGATTACTTTTATATAAACAGACTGTATGTAAGCAGACTGTGACAAGAACTATCAATTGTGATTTTTGTCATTGCAGATTCAGTGGAAGTCAGGATGAGCTGAGGAGCAGGTAGGTGCAGTATAGAAACACTATTATCGTTGTTTTACCTTTAATTCAAGTCAATGTACTTTCAGTAGTTCTAACCAGAACTGTGGCCTAATAATGCCTCTCTTCTACTTGCAGCACCATCCCTTCCAGCAAGACTACTACCTCCTACACCAAAAGGTACATTTTCATGATAGCACAACTAATGTTGCAATATCTGGAGATTCTTTTCAGGAAATTATTTTAATAATCTGCCTCTTTGTTGCAGCTCGTATTCAAGTCTGAAGTCAGATTCTCCGAGCACGTACGTAAAGCTCCAGTCTGTCACACACACGATGCAAAAAAATCAGCAGAAAGACAATGAAGATAATGCATAGCTTTGTTTTTATCCACGTCCAAGACTACTTCAAACCAACAAGGAAACATAGGCAACAAAGCACACTGAAGCATTTTGTAACTTTTCTTTCCTATTACTCTTCCTTCAGTACCACAACCTCTATTATCACCAAGGATGGCAAAACCACTGAGACCACCACCACCACCACCCAGAGCCTTAGGTAAATACTTCAGCATTAACATGTGTCATCTTATTGCACATTGAGTCCATATCAGATTCATGAGAAAATATATTGTTCTTTTGTTGCTTTGTTTTTTGCAGATCTCCTGTGATTAAATCTCCCACCAAGACCGACATGTTCACTGAGCGGGTCCTGTCTTCAAGCAAAGGGTAAAAATATACTAATATAAGTTTTTTTTTTTTTTTGTATTCAAGTACAGACACAGAGTATGATCAGCAAACTGTACTGAAAGTATCAAAGGTAAAACTCAATGTACAAGGAAAAAAAACCCTGCGAGTGTTTTTATATATAACATTACGAGGCTGCTGACACTGATGCATGTAAATAGTTATTTTCCATCTCTAGTTGCCAATGAGCTTCTTGCACCAAATATGAGCACAGTGTACTGTTACAGTGCTGGAAAACAGATTTTATTGATCATATGATGTTGGTTTGAATCTGTGTTTGAATGAAAAGCTGATTAGCTGTAACATCTTCTCACACAGGACACTATACTCAAACATCTCACCTACCAGAACAACCAAAGTGACTGAGACAACTGTTACCAGCATTAAGGGGTAATGTACTTTCAGATTAATAAAAAGCTGTATCAATAGCATTTAAATCTCCATCAACTATAATTTTACCTGTCTGTAATATATTTCTGTGCAGTGCGGAAGACAAACTTTATGACACCCCACGTGTCATCCCCACGTCTGTCAAGGATGATATCTCGCCCACAGACAGGTGATAATCTTACAAATCCTGTCTAGAAAATGAATTATATTTATGACACCAGACAGTTAGTAATTATGTTCTGTGCTAATGTATATTTCCTTCTTTACAGCAAGACGACTGTCTCTACAACTGAGACTGTGGTAGTGAAAAGCAGAACTGACACTAAGTGAGTTTGGTCCTGTAGTGGGTATAACGCAGGCTGTGTAGTATCTAGATGATATTCAAGTTAGTCAGATGAATCTACTGATCATATTTCTATATTTTTAATTGTCAACAAACCCAAAAATAAAGGTAAACCAACAATGATTTGGTCCTACTAACAAGTCTTCATGGCCATAGCCCAATATATTTTATTCCTCTGTGCCATAGAACTCCATACTATATACTATTCTATATACTGTCACTGAGTCTTTACACAATGAATGCTCATCCCCACCTCTAGAGACATGTAGGATCATCTAAGGCCCAGATGGCCTGTAGGAGTGTGACTGTTTTGTGAGTGTATAGTGTGGTTTTGCAATGCCTGGTGCCCCCCCCACCACCCCCACCCCCCCCAGTCTGTTTCTGTGCCTTACAGACATACAGCCAGGATTACAATGGAGAGATGTAATAACTATCTTTTTATGTTACATCATCCAACTATTATTGGTTTCTTTTTTTTTTTACATTAAAGTGAGACCATGTAATGTTTGAAGGAACAAATAACAGAATATTCCTCTTCGAAGAGAAACATTTAATTCATAAGCAATTTATAAAAAACACCTTCAATCTATTCAATACACTTAGGGGGTTTGCTACCACAGCTTTACTCATTCTGGTGTGAACATTCACTTAAGGTGGCTACAGTTAGCTTAACTGCTCAGTATCAAATGATTTACCCTTTGTTGAAATTGTTTCTCTGCAGCTCTGAGGACAAACTCTATGATACTCTCATTCCCACATCTATCAAAGGCGACGTCAAAGACAGGTAATGTTTGCAGTCACTAATAAAACCTGTACCAAAACCAATATATATATTCCTCCTCCTCCACCCATAGGCGGAGGCTGCCGTATAAACATATAGTGAATGACAATATATTAATTAGGGAGACTTAAAGTAGAGTTGCCATTTCATTTAATGCTATAGTCATTGATTATTATCAGTTAATATGTAATAAGTAATATTTTCTTTATTACAGCAAAACAACTGTTTCCAGTACTGAGACTGTGACAGTGAAGAGCAGCACTAATGGGTGAGTTACTGCACGACAACTGTCACACTGTGACAGTTACATTAATTACCAGGCAGTCAGATAAAAATATTTTCTCTTGTGTTTTCAGAGATGATATTAAAACTACAACCACAACAAGGACTTCATCTTTGTAAGTTAAGCCTTTATCACCCTTAATCATTTGTAAAATAAATATACCCCCAAAACATAAGGATTGCAATCATAATCTCTGTATATTTATAATATTGTTGTCTTTGCAGGGCTGAGGATGACCTGTATGACACCCTGCTGCCTAAAGGCATTTCGTCTAATCTGATGTCTCCTGTCAGGTGAGGTGGTGTCTGAGTGATTGACTTTTAACAAGACTCACATAATTATCTTGTCAGTCAAACAAGACATTGTCATTGTCACCAGCAGCTCAAGCGTCACAAAGAGAGAAACTGTCACAGTGGAGAGCAGCAGAGGGTGAGTCTTGACTGACTGAGAGTGTTCTGGTTCTTTATGTGTACAGTAATATATACTTTATCCCTTTTTTCTCATGATATTTTTTTTGTGCCGTTTAGAGGAGACAGTCCAAGTCTGACATCGCCATCCTCCACTATCAGAACCAGCAGGTAAACATGTTGACTGCTCAACGCACAACTCAGAACTTGTCAAAAATAACAGGTGTTGGTAGGAAGGTGATTGTACGGTATGTTGTTGTCAAATCCAAAAAATAAGCAATTTTATCCATCTACAGATTTTATTACTTATCTAATTTTCAGTTTATTTTTCATTTATAATGACTAAATTAAATAATCTTTCAAAAAAGGCCAAGTTAAGTTAAATAGACAACTGATAGACAAAAAAATGTATTTGTAATACTTAATATCCAGCTCATCCCGCTGCCTCTTTGACAAACAGTTACAGCTTGTACTCTGATGACAGTCCCTCCACCCGCACCAGCTCCTACACCATCAGCACCAAGCCCAGGTAATCATTTTACCAGTATCTCTCACACTCTTACACACACATACCAGCTAATCTGCTCTGCTTGCACACACATACTCTAACTCAACACCAGACTCCAGGTAGGAAGCTGAGCAATCTCAGACCTGACTTAATGGTTTTACTTTCCATTCCATTCTCATGTGATCTGTGGTTCACATTGTCTTTGTACAGCTACGAGTACACCAGTATCACCAGTCCCACTACCTACACCTCATCATCATACAGGAGCAGCAGGTATTAGATGATCTTAAATATGACTGGGTTTAATATTGGTGTATAAACATGATATGAGATTAAAGCAACACTCCAGCTGATAACTGTAACTCTCACAGCAGGTCAGATGACACTGATTCAATCTACTCTACATCCTCCATGAAGAGTTTGTATACATCCCCTGAGAGGTAGGACAAGTGCGACAACAGTCTTTCTCGACCTTGGATACAGTAGCTTTTGCAAAAAACTCTCACGATGACAATGCTAGAGGAAAAGTCTGGTAATCCCCAAAGTCGTTAGGACTCCTCATCTGGAAAACATGAATGTCTGTACCAAATTTTGTGCCAATCCATCCAATAACTGTCATGATATTTCAATAAAAGCAAGAAATGTCAACCTGCTTGGTACTAAAGGAGAAGTCGTGGGATCACCCAAGTCATTAGGATTGATTCACCTCTGGGAACCATGAATGTCTGTGCAAAATTTAATGGGAATTCATCCAGTAGTTCTCAGTCTGGACCAACTCACAGTCTGATCTTAAAATGTTTATTAGCTTATTTCAACAGTTTTCAATGGATGGGTTTTGTTTTGCCACACTACTGTTTTCATTGTCAAGGATGAACTTAGAGCATATGCTTAATCTTTTTAATGTTCTTTTAATATGTTGTGATACACATTACCAACCCTTTTCCCCATACAGGACGGTGCATGAGAAAGACCTGTGCACCTACTGCCGTAAGCCCTTCGTCGGTGATGCCAAGATGGTCCTGGATGACCTGAAGATCAACTGCCACGCGTCCTGCTTCAAAGTGAGCAGATCAGCTTTGTCTCTCAATGTGCATTCAAAATATTACTTAAGTAAAATCATCATTTTCATTTCAGAAAAATGCAACATCGAAAGTAAATGTACTCATTATGAAGAGTGGAGAATGCCGATGCTGTGTTTTTACAGATTATTACCACTGATGCATTAATGTGTAATGTTTAATGTTATAGCTGGTCAAGGTAGAGTAAATTCTAGCCATCCCACTTATTATACTGTTCACTGTAGTTCAATCATTTATAATGCATCATATTTTATAAAGCGATCATATGTTTTGTATCTAAATCCTACAGGCCCTGTGCACTCATAGTTCATTCACACAGGTGTTCACATATGTTATTGCCTAATTAGACCTACTCTCATCAGCCAGTCGTTACTTTTATTATTTACACCTGTGAGTTTCCTCCTGGGACATGTTTGCTGGGACATTAGTACACACAGTGATTCCCTGAATACTTCCACTTAACTTACACCTGACTAGACGTCTAATCAGCTGGAGTAATTGAAAACACCTGAGTGGGTGTTCGGAGCTTTTAACTCGTAACCACAGCTTTCAGATAAATGTAGTGAAGTATAGATCTGCATATAATAGACATACTTAAGTAAAAGTACCTCAAAACTGTACTTAAATGCTGTACTTGAGTAAAAGTATGTACTTTCATTCTGCCACTGGCAATAAGATATTATCGGGAACTGTGCAGCTGACTGCTCAGCGTGTATCTGTCCTCATGTGAGTGTTTATTTGTGTTTGAACAGTGTGAGGTGTGTAGCAGCACTCTGGGTCATCTGAAAGCTGGGGACAGCATGTGGATCTACAAACGCATGGTGCACTGTGAGAACTGCTTTGAGATCACCAGAGGTAAGGAAAAAAAAAAAGATTGTACTCCCAGTTCTTCATCTTTATGAATGTCAAAGTGCAGTGAATAAATGTTGAAATGTATTTGTTTACTTTGTTGAATTTAACAGGTAATATCCTTTTTTTTTTTTTTTTACCCCCACAGATAAATGGCGGCGCTGAGCTTCTCCCGAGCGTTTAGTGGAGATTCAGCACATGTGACTAAAGATAAAATGAATTTCTGTCTATCAGCATGTTTTGGGGTGACACTGGTTTTCCTGCACTGAGGTTTTTACAAGATGAAGGGTGTTAATCTGGGTGTTTTGACAAATGACAGTTGCATTACAGATATAATTCTTTTAGTAACATCCACACACTACTGCAGCTATTTGTAACTGTCATGGCATTTCTCTCTCTGTATTTACTCTTTCTTAAGTTCAAGATAGCATTTATGATATTATACTAAGTCTGCTGCCTGTAGGGGGACTGACGATTGGAGGTATTGCAATATTTTGGGCCGGGGGCTTTTTCTTTGTGCAATAAAGGCAATCGATGCAGCTTTATCCAAAGATAGTCATATGTGTCATTTCTTTTGGTGTATTTCTTTTTTGAAGAATAGTTCTGAGGTATATTTCTCTTTAGAAGTAAAGTTACAGTACAGTTATAGTAAAATGTCTTATGATAAATGTAGGCTATTATGTGATCATTCATTATTTAGTAGAACAGAATAAAGCAGAAGAGATTAGGAATGATTTAAAAAGAATATATTATTTCCTCAAATATTATTGAGTTAAATCTCTACAGAATTAATCTACAGAATTGTTGAGCCTATAATTATTTAATGTTCATGGAATAAAATGCAAAGTCCTTCCTCTTTCTCTTCTTTGAATAAACTGACATTTATGTCAGCATGACACACAGCTTTACGTCTCTGTGGCCTCCATCACTACTGCCCTTTTCACACATATCAAGAAAGCTGCTGTTGCCAGGATAAAAACAGTGCCATACATTTTCCTATGTTTTTATTCTATCATATATATTATACTGATTCTATAATAACCAGAGAAGCAGTAGCAATACAGTAACCTAACTCTACTCTTAGGAATATTATGCATGTATAATTTCTTTCTTGTGTCATTCCTTTGTTATTTGATAACCTTATGACAGGTTTGCTTCAAGTGTTCATTTGTATTCATGAGGTATAGTTTTTGCCACAACTGATTAACAAGTGGTTGCACCTTCTCAATACAGGTGTAGCCCATTTGACCCAAAGGTATCAGAATGTACAATGTGTGTTTGTAGTTTTTTTGGTCTCGTTTTGGTCATTTTGCATCTCTTTGTAGTCGGTTTGTCTCTTTGATTGTTTTGTATCTGTATTTAATATCATATCTGGTTCTCTCCATAATGACGGTGCTGTATCTTTCATGTAAAGGCTACCAATTATCAGGCTATTTATTTGTAATTGAACGTAATAAACATATGAGTTGATAAGTGTGTTTACAATTACCACATGGAAAAATCTATGTTTGCATTGAATGTATATACGTTCAAAGCGCCCTCACTAAATACTTCTTCAGCAGTGGTGTGATGGGAGTTGAACTCCAAGCTGCTGACCAATGAGATGGAGGCTGTGCAGTCATACCAGCAGCAGCAGCAGCAGCAGCATCAGTGTGTGTATTTGTTGTGTGTGTGTGTGCGTGCGTGTGTGTGTGAGAGAGAGAGTGTGTGTGTGCTTTAAACGGGGGAATCTGGACACCCTCTCTGAATTGAATAGGACCTTCTGCAGGCAGGCCGTGCTTTTTGCCCCTCTCAATGTGCTTTTTACCAAATGGAAGCAGAAGTGTTGAACCCCCAGATGATGGCAGACGTCAATGGCAACAATAAAATCACTAACGCGGAGCTGGAGGTGTTAAAGCTTCAGGAATTGGTCCGAAAATTAGAGAAGCAAAACGAACAATTGCGGACACGAGCGAACGCTGTAAACAATTGCTCCATCGGCCCTCATCTCCAGACCTCGTTGTCGTGTCTGCACGGGGGTACAGCGTGTCCGAGTGACAATTTCTCCTGTAAATATGGCATTTCGAGTCCGACACAGTCGCATCCGTGTGCCCCCGGACCCCGGAGTTCAGCGGAGGAGCCGTTCGCCTATTTTCAGCCGAGTTCGGTGTCTCCTGCCGCCGCTGGGGAGGACAGCAGCGGCGCCGCTGGAGCCACAACTGTTTTGGATGAGGTTGATATTTTGGACCTCAACACTGTGCTCCCTATCGGAGAGCCTGATAGCTGGTAACTACTCTGTTTATATCAACCACTTCATTGCAGCCGTGTGCATATGCAGTATGTCGTTGACAAGTTACGATAAAAACAGCGTCCTTTGTGTTTTAATGACCAAGCAGATGCTTCATAGGCCACAGGACTGTAACGAGCCACAGTTTTGAGACATCATGTGTAATGCGACCCTGTCATGTATCCTCTTATTGATCACATTATTGATTCTCCTGCAAGAAGAGGAGACTTGCAGACACTGGTAAACAGGGTGACTTTTTGTAGGAGGAAAACGAGCAAAATCAGATTTGACACAAGCTTTGGGCATCCCAGAATGCACTGTGTCTGCAGCATAGGTATGAGTTCAGAGTAAGACAGCACTGGGATGAAATTAGAAACAGTGACCCCCTTCAGCTTGTGATCAAAAAGCTCGGCTTTGTGTGCAGTGTTTAGCCCCAGGCTGAACTACTTTGAAATGCTGTATCTGCTGACTTAGGGAGCTCACACACTGACATGCTGACTGCTGAACCGTTTGCAGCTTTATGTATCTGATGTGATGATGTGGAAAAATGTAGCACACAGCTCAAGGCAGCACTGATGGGATCCAGCGTACACGCAGTGTGTCGGTATACCTTCAGTCCATTTAACATAACTAACTGATCCCCCAAGTCAATGTAACACCATGGCCTGGTTACTGAGTAGCATGTCAGTTCTGCTTGGTTCTTATTCTTCTACTTGGACACAGAGGTGACACATCATTTTTTTATAACCCAGTTCATTTTTGGGAATCCATCGCTCCAGTGTAGCATAGTCACACATCACACGTAGTCACACATCTAAGTACGTCACGTCTATATATTTAATTAAAATGAGGATCCAGTTTTCAGTTACTTTCAGTTTTTGTCCGGCGGAGGCACAAGAATCTATGGATACAATGATTGATTATTTTCAGTAGTCCTTTGATTACTTTCACGATTCATTTATTCATCATTTGGTGTATAAAATCTAAAACTCCAAAGATTTTCATTTTACTCTCATGTATGGACGTGAAATGCAGTAAATTTTAGAAGCTGAATCCAGAGAATCTTTGACATTTCTGTTTGAAAAATGACTGAAATGATTAATCGATTATCCTTATACTTGCTGATTAATCTTATGTTGACTGTCTAATGTATTAACTGATTAATTGAGTATCTACCTGTCGAAATGAGAAGAGATAACATCTGTAACCCTCCAGTGTTTTACTGTGGCAGTTATACTGTTCTCACATCCTATACATCACTGCACTGAATGAATCTGTCACCGACTTTTATTTTACACTGTTGGTTTCATGGCTCATGTTGTTGCCAATAAAATGGTGATTCCTCTTTGTGGAAAGTTTGAACTTTACTGGTGTATTGGCATTTGGATTTCATGACAAACACTCCCTTTACACAGCCCCGGGTTTACCTTTACTATAAAGGGGCTTTACCTTACAGGGTTGTGCATCTGAGAAATATTGCCACTGTAAAACTCAACCCTGAAGATCTCTAGCTACTATTTTATGTGGACACAGATTGTTCTACCAATAACATACAGCAGCCTCCAGCTTGTTTTACTACAGTTGTCACTGTAAAAACTATGTGCTATACTGTGCTATAAAGGTGGAAGGTGGCAGGACTAAACAGTGGGTTCTGCTTTGTGTTCCAGGCTCTATGTGAGTCCCAAAGCCAAGCTGCAGGGTGAGAGTCTCCTCAGTCCTCTCCAGTGGTGCAGGCAGGTACTGGACCACCCGGGGCCTGAGGTGGAGCTGGCTAAGATGACCCTCTGTCACAGACTGGACCAAGGTACAGTGTATTTAGCAGTCAGATTAACAGCCTTCATCTGCAGCCGCATCTGGACATCTGTCTCTCTGGCTTTCTGACATGTGATTATAAGCTGTGACACACTTCACCCACAAAATGTCTCCACGTGCAGCAGGATTTCAGCTACAGTTTCTGAGCCGTGGGAGCATTTCACTTCACACGGCTCAGTCGTTTCAAACCATTTGACCATATAACTCACTCTCTCTAAATTTATGGGTTTTAAAGTACCTCAGCCAACTTCCCACAGTGATTATTTCTGTTTTAGTGGAGTTGGATGGGCTCCCATTTTTACACATATCACTATCTCCAGAGGAACAATTAGGATCAGTTTAATGGATTTGCTTTTCTGCAGATCTAAAAAAAACAGCTCCATTTGGAGGAACTCATGCTGTGCTGTTGGATGGCATTACACTGTGTTAAGTGGGAAACAGTGTAGAGATGATTATAAAGCTCTGAAAGTATCACCATTATTACACTACACCATCCACAAGTGGTTTATATATATACACGTATACATATACTCATACACACGACACTTTGATTTCTAAGGGAATGTTGAAAAAGCACATTTCAAGAGAAAAAAATACCCATTTTAAATTAAGTATATACGCTAAGCTAAGCTAAGCTAAGCTAAGAGCTTTATATTGAACAGACAAATGTGAAAGTGGTATTGATCTTTTCATCTAACTCTCCTGCCCCTTCTGTCTCCTGACACCTGAATGAAGATATCTACCTATATCCTGCAGTATGTTGGTCACCGCTCAAAGGTGGCACCCCCTGTACAGCTTAATGAGCTACAAATATGACATTGACCTCTCTTTAGGAATTTGACGTGCACACTAGTGTCCTGGATTTGAGTCTTGTCCTGGTTTTGATTATATTTAGAATATACTGGAACATTTGCACAGAACATAGTAAAAACCTGACTATTCAGCTGCCTGTATGTTTGATTCTAACATTATTATCCAGGTTGCTGATGTTTTGTGATGTTGCTGTCTTTGACTCATCCACATCCAACTATCCAATTTGTCTTTTCTGCGTTGACTGAGTCATTTCAACAGCTGAAGACGAACCCATTTTGGGTTCTGGCTAGACTTTGCTTCTCCTTTTGATCATCAGTAATGGAGGGCGAGAGTGAAGATACAGTTTATCCACTTATTATTACCACTGTCATTCATTAAATCATTAATCATCATGTCATAATCACATTTTTTGTTTTTCTGACTAAAAACTACATAACTAAAGTTAAGGATGGCCCTGCGCTCATGGCCGACCTGGAAACGTCATTTACATGCTGTAATATCCTGCGTTTCTAAGCATCGAGGTCATATGATGTTTATATGCATTAAAACGTAACCAGGATACTAGAAACCCCCCTTCATAACCAGGATACTGGTGTGCTACGAAATGACATTTGCTGCTGGACCCAGTTTTAGATTTGGTGCTTCACTGTTTCTTCACTCCTGCAAGGGGATATGGTTGCCATAGAAACCGTGCTTACATTAACTGGGTTTTTGAGGCAGATTTGCCCAGCACTCGGCTGCTCAGAACAGCCTCTTGTGCTATCACAGCACTTAATAATGCACACGTCAGTGTGTACTCTGTATATGCATGTGTTTAAAATCTAAAAAAGAGCTCTCAAAGATCCGTTACATATTTGTGGGCCTGTTGTGTCCACGCTGTGATTCAGTTCTGTGCTTTAGTTAGTGTTTGTTTGGATGGTCATTAGTGTGTGTACGGTTGAAGGTCCTCTTCTGTCTCTAAAGCTGTATTCAGTGAAGGTTGGCTCTCCTCCTATGGGTCATGAATACATCCTTGTGCCTGAGCTCCAGTGGCTGTTGTTTGTGTAACTTGCTGTGAATGCTACTTTTTATCCAGTAGTGTTTGAGCCTAATTGTGTCAGGAATGCCAAATGCTCCACTCTGTCAGGTGTGTGCCACTCGGACTACCGATCAGTGGGGCTGAACTCAGTGTTTACACATTGAAGACACATTATCTCAACTCAGTCATGTCATTCCAAGCCTAATCTTTTCAATGCTAATCAGCATGAGCTAGCAAAAAAGAACAGCACCACTTTCCTAATAAGCCATATTTTATTAGGGCTTTATAAGTTACAACTGATTGCTTTAAGTGCCATTTAATAAGATAATATTTCAGCTGACAGACAAAGCTTGGCAACCTAAAATCATTGGGTTGTCAAGCTTTCCATTTGTGGTTTATACTACTGATCTATAAATTCAATTAATTATGTTTTAACCATGATAGGTTACAGCTTAGATTTAATATGTTACAACATTATTGCTTCATGAAATTAATACAAATCGAATCTAAGCTGTATAAATGTAACCTCTGCACCCCAAAGTAGACCATAGTAGATCTAATTCTGATTTTGGGAATGGGATGTAGCCTACATGCACAATCCCTGCTTATCCTAAGACCCCTCCAGAAAAATCTGTAGTTTAGCCCAATAAGCCGCAGTGGTAAGCTAAACCTCGTCTTACTGTATCAGCCTCTTCTGTCTGAGCCGTGACCCAATCATTTAAAACATCAATACTGATCTGTAAAAAGCAGATTAACATTTGGCGGGAGTGAGTTAAAATATAATCAATGTACTGTATGCGTGCATGTGTACGTGTGTGTCTTGTATGGTAACGCAATCAGACTAACTTGTCCTTCACTGCAATCTTGTGTCTAGCTAAGCGGTGGCGAGGAGTCTCCTCCATCCGTCCATACAGCTGCATAGAGGGGCTCTCCACCCTCAGCTGCCCCGTCCTGCCTTACACTAAATCTGCTGCACTAACCGAGTCCCCAGGTAACACGAACACACCACACATGTATAACTCATGCTAACCACAAACGAGTCACATTAACTTCTGATAGGCCTCTGAGGATCATCTGTAGATGTCAAGGTTTGATACTTATGGCCGAATCACTGAACACACACTGATCTATTTTGTGGCTTAACTGGGGTGTCTGCTCTAACGGTTTGTGACATATCAAAGAAGAGCAATTAAAATGAGACTATTATTTCATTGAGGTGACCTTTGCAAGAGGAAAAAAAAAATCCGCTGACATTGGCATTTGTTGTAGTGCAGCAATGATTAACTGAGTTAATGAATTGATAAGTTGACAAGGCAGGAAAAACTGGTAAGTGATTTCATTATAACACGATTGATCATTTTAGTCATTTATTGCCAGATATGATTATGTGTCGTTATGTTTCTTTTCATGTCATTTGTAGCATGATAGCTGTGTGGCTCTAAGCATGGCAGTGTCAGTCCATTGGTTTGTTCACCACTTTGGTCCAGACTGAAATGTACAGACATTCGTGGTCCCAAGAAGACAATCCTCTGATTTCTTCCTCTGATGTCATGAGCATGTCAAATGTTTTACTTATCCTGTAAAGTCTGTCAACATCTACACGATGGATTGGCACAAAACAGACTTTTGTGGTGCCCAGACGGTGAATTAAGAGTTAAATGTTTTGATGACTTGGCACAAAATCTTGTACAGACATTCAAGACTGTGGTGATCCTTTAACTTTTTATCATGCGCCACCATCAGGTCAAAATTTACATTTTTCCAATACTTAATTGAACAAATCTAATGGGATTCCCTTCAACCTGAGCAATACTTTGTGTTCATTGCTAATTACCGAATGCGAACATGCTAACACGCTAAACTGAAATAGTGCATAAGGTAAACATTATACCTGCTAACCATCAGCATGTTCGCATCGTCATTGTGAGTATATTAGTATGCTGTCGTTAGCTGTTAGCTCAAAGCGCCACTCTTCCCAAGTACTGCCTCACTGAACCATTAGCATGGCCGTCGACTCTTGTGAGTTTCACACAGAGCTGTCTGTTTTCAGGAATATCCTCCATATTCACTATGTTACATACCGTCGCACCTTGACGCTTTGCCCAGTACAACCACAGCCTGATCTGTTGACCAGCACTGCTTTTTCATTTTCCCCCACCCATTTTTTTCCCGCCAGTGTTGGGACTCAAGCACACATTTCCAACCTTCAGGCCATTTCTGCCTGTGTTCCAAAATCTAACACCATAACAGAAATGTAGATAGCATGTGCAAATGAAGGCTAATTACTTTACATTTTGGCCTTACATTTAAACTCTGTTAAACTTCATTGCTCAAATGAACTCTTTCCTTGAACCTCAGAGTCCTTGCTCCATTTTTCAGATGTAATAAGAACACAGATCCGAAAGCATCAATTGCTTCCAAAATACTTTGGGAGCTCACTGTATAAACATAACCCAGATTCTTAAACAACCTGTTACTTGCAGTTTACAGTCAGATTACAGCAAATTGCAGGGAAGAGATTATAAGGTCATGCTCTGGGACAGATGGAGACAAGCAAGCTCAAACTCCACCAGAAAAAAAAAATCCCTCTGCTTGTTCATCCATATTTATTATTAACACAACTCTCAGTGAGAGCGGGTTGAGTTTTGATTGATTGGTGTATGAATCTTCTCTCTCCTCCTGCCGTGTTTCTCACCTCTCAAGCCCCGTTGCCGTCAACTGGTCAGTCTTTTCTCCAGCCGAGTCTCCCGCTCAGGGCGAGCTGCAGCCTCGGTGACAGAGCACCCACCTTCCTGTCAAACTCCACCCTCCACAGTAAGACCCCACTGACAGCCTGTCTTCTCTGCTCTGTCATTCGTTTCTGCAGTTTTATCCGGTGGGAGTCACCATTCACCTGTGAAGGTATATACACTTAAACGTCACATCTTGGTGAAATGCACGTGTCTCTCCTGTGTTTTTTAGACGTGGGTCGCCGGCATGCAGCCATCAGCCCCCAGTCTTCCCTGGACAGCGAGGTGGGTGTGTCAGAGCTGGAGGATGACACCATCTCTATGAGCTACAAACTGCAGGACATGACAGATGTGGAGGTCATGGCACGACTTCAGGAGGAGAGTGAGTCGACTATCTAAATATCTTGTGGACATTAGATGGGAAAAAGCACCTGAGGTTTGAAGTAAATAAATCACCTTCAAATACTTCTTCTAGAGTCTATACACTAAATATACATGATTCTTGTGTTACGTAGTTTTGTCTTTCACAATGCCATTTGTCCGGGCTGACATCCATCGATATAATTAACACTGATGAATGGCCTTCTGTAGAGACTGAAATGGATTACTCTGTGACATTGCTGATGTACGGCTAACACAAAGACAAATGTTTGACCTTTGAACAGCTGAACTTGAGCAGACAGTAATATCTTGTTGTTAAATTATGCAGGAGATCTCAGGGAAAAAAAAAACATCCCTGTATCAGTCTGGTCTACTGATTCAGTAACTGAATAATGGATGAGGAGTGCCTCCAGGAGGAAATATATCATATACTATGATACAGGCTCGTGTTTTCCACAGATAAAACCAACAATCTGTCACCTTGTAGGTCTCCGACAGGACTATGCCTCTACCTCAGCCACAGCCACAGCCAGCCGTCGCAGCTCCAGCTTCTCCTTACACTCCCTGAGGCGCAGTGAGATGGATCTGGAGGAGGAGGACGAGGAGGACGAGGGGTACGACCAGCTCCCTCCCCCCCAGCCTCGACTGTTCCGCACAGGGTCTATGCAGAGGGGCAGCCTGCCCCACTCTCACACCTTCTCCAGTATCAGAGACTGCCGACGCAGCTCGACCACCCCTCAGTTTTCACTCAGTGGACTCTCCCAGTACTCTGGGCCCTCCAGCCTGACCACAGAAACACACGCAGCATACAGGAATAGCACAGGTGAGTGTCTAATGGATTCCTTATTCACTTGCCACTGTAAGACACTAAAAATCCTAAAAATAACAATGTCACCACACTACTTGTAAAATAGAGATGAATGTCCCACTTCAGACTGAAAGCATCTTGACAGAATAACCTACATTTGACCTGTCCCTAAATTCTGTCCAGACGATTTCTCTTTGTGCCAAGACGGATTTAAAGAGTGCTCTTGGTTACAGGATTTAAAAAGCATCCCAAGTTTGGGTCAGTGTACTCTGTTCCATCAGTTGCAAGACTGATGTTGTACTTTAAGACAAATTTGACTGTCATGGTGAGGAGCAAGTCTGAAAATGTCTTACCCTATTAGGATTTCACATGCTGTGTATTTTCAGAAGTCAGAATTCTTAGAGGAATAGTTTGACATTTTGGGAAATACGCTTATTTCTTTCTTGCCAAGAGTTAGATGAGACGTTTGATACCACTCTCATGTCTTTATGGGAAATATAAAACTGCAGGGGTTAGCATAGCTCAGCATAAAGACTTGAAACAGAGGGAAACAGCTAGCCTGCTCTGTCCAAAGGTAACAAAATCCACTTACCAGCACCTCTAAATCTCACTAATCACAAAACAAAAAACAGTTGACAAGTTATGCTTTTATAGGAAGTTATGTGCAGGATTAGTCCTTGGCTGGAAGCAGTGACTTTCCTATTTCTCAAAATATCAAAGTGTCTCCTTTGACATTTAAAATGTGAGTCAAAATTTCCCAAAGCTTCAAATGGAATCAACACCTGCAAAACCTGAACCGGTTTGTTGATTTGGTTGCATAGACAAGCTACGGAGAAGCATGCCAAACTTGATCCGAGCTCCCAGCATGCCCAGTGTTCCCAGTATTCCATGTCTGGCTTCCCCCGTCAACCCACCCTCCCACGGCCCCTCCTCCTTACCAACGATATCCTCCCTCCGGAGCAGCCAGAGCTTTGACTCATCCAGTGGGCTCGCACGACTCCAGTCCTCCAGTAAGACTCTGTTCCTCATGTCTATGAATAAATCAGCTATTCAGAGCTCGTTTTTATTTATGAGATAATATAGAGCACTGTTATTATTTTTTTGAAGGCATGGCAATTTCAAATGCAGTAATTGCTACACTGTCACTGATGTAAGAGTTACTTTCATCTAACTGTTGAAGCTGTGTTTCAGTTCCTTCCCCAGGCCAGCTCACTCAACGAGTCCAGAGCGTGGCGAACTTCCCCACCACTCCCCGGCACCCACTAAAAGCCACAGCTTACGTCAGCCCCACAGTGCAGCAGGGCCCCACCTCCACCTCTCTGTCCACCTCTGTCAGTCTGCACTCCATCCCGAGCAACATCGCACTGCCTCAGCCCCTGAAACCCAGCAGCAGTCTGGTACCACAGCCCCTAAAAGCCAGCGCCAACCAGCCAGCTGTCCCCCGCAGCTCCCTTCCTCGCCCAGCCTCCTTTGTAGGGACGAGTGGAGTTCCACGTGCGAGCAAAATCACCCCACCCACCCGCAGGTAAGGGCAGATTCGACTCAGTGAGTTTAAGGGGGACCTCTACCAGTGGAATAAAAAAAAAAAGACAGGACATTGAGATGGGCTTTTGTTGTTGTTTTCTGATGTTTTATTGACCAAACGTATGATTGATTGTTTGATAATGAAAATTATTGTTAGTTGTAGCCCTGTATGCAATATGGAACTGGGAAACAACAGGGGTTTCTAAACATTTTCACTGGTTGTCCAGAGTGAGGTGCTGTTGTTAAATGTTGAAAGGCACGTTAAACCAGCTTCTCTGTCATACTTCAAAGGTTGGCACATGTTTTTATTTGACTGTATAAAGGGTAGGTGTTTAATTGGCTGGTTTCTTGCCATCTGCAGTTTGCTGACTCCCCCAAAGAGCCTGGCTGCCCTGAGTGCCCTGAGGGATGGCAGCTGGAAAGATGGCTGCTACTGAACAAACTGAAGTTCAAGAGGTGCACAGGGTAACGCTGCATGGGACCCAACTGATTTCAAATTTTGCTGTCAGGGGTTCCGAGTCTTGGGCTGTGACCCAAGAGAGAGTGACTGTTAACATTTCTAAAAAGCACTACTCTTCAGTGAAGGACAAAGTAGAGACTGACAACAGTATGTGTCCAGCTGGGCTGGATCTTTACCTTACTACCTGCTGAAACACAGACTGGCACACTATGAAACAACCTGGCAATATACTGATAATCAGTTGTTAAATGTGAACTGGTTCTTCTTTGATATGTGTTTTTTGATTTGTCATTGTGGATAGTTAAGGGTATGTTTATTCAAACAGAATGATAATTTCTCTCCAGTTGAAACCTTAGAAAAAATAAACCCACGCTTTTGTACATGCTTTTAATGATTTAATCGGACTAATTTTGCAATTATTATTTTTTTGATTGTGGTGTCAGATATGAAGTTGAACCTGAAATTTGAATTTTGTTACATCCTGTGCCTGTTAAAAAAGCAGTGTAATTCATGTCAGTTATATTTATTGGCTGGACCTCGCAGCACTTTTGATCAGAATTATTATTAATGCATTAAAATAAATTATCTGCTTTGTTTCTTCAGTAAAGTATGACATTTGTTTATGTAAGTGTACACGTTTTACCCTATGGCTAGTTCCTTTTCATTATTGTTTACATGACAGCTGAGATTTTTAATGTTCTTTGATAAACATAATCGCTGCAATGATATTGCACATAGAGCCCTGATGCTTTTTATGGATGACAAGAATTTAAAGAGAAGGTGAATTTTTAAAGTGATTAAAAGCCTTTCAAAATATTTTTGCATTTTCCCAGTCTGTCTTGAATATAGTGAACCTGGATTAAATTAATAAATCGTTGGCATTGAAAGGGAAATTGGGGGAAAAAATGAAAGGGATTTCTGCTAATAATCAACTGCAGAGGGTAGTGTTACTCCACTATGCACAGTAACAGGCAGACATTACTCTTTATCTGTGATATGCGTCGTAATTTATGCTGTGTTAAATGATTTGTTTATTTAAAACAATTGACATTTTAAGAAAGTATTGATGTAAATGCAGAAATGAGCTAAATATATTATAATTTTGGCTAAAAACAGTCTGTGTTTAGAGAAACTGATGACAGCTTTCTCCTAACACAGTCCAACCAGGAGAATCACAGTACTCAGGCAAATTATTTATCTTGTAGCCCCGCACACGTAGAAGCTAAAGACCATGCACTCTACTTACACCATGCACTCTACTTACTTGTCCATGGCATGAAAACACTTAAGGTAATGGTGGCAAAAAATATGAAGCTACACAAATCCCCCTCTGCACTCTAAAACTTATATAATTCCTTACTAACCAGACTCAATACTGATTGAACATTTCCTCCACTCCTTAAAATGTTTGGAAGATACTTAGTTTTCTAAAATATTACAGTGAAGATTTCAGTCCAGTTTTACACTTGTGTACCTGGTAGCAGTCGGGGTGTGGTTTAACCTGACAGTTTTTTAGCTTCAATCGAGAGCCTGGAGCTAAAGTGACTAATGTTTAACAGGTCAGTATGTTGATGTTGAATCTCCCCAGTAACAGTCGAACCACGCTCATCATTGGCATACTGTACCTTAGGGTAAGTGAATAAAATCTCTGCCTGCTATTTGGAAATTTGGACCATAAATATACGTTTAACCTTTTTCAAAAAATGATTAAATGTGGTTTATGAAAACAGGTACGTAGAGTGAGACTTGCACTGCTCATCTTTCGGAATTTGAGATAATGCCCAACAAAGCCCAAGAGGTATGCATAATCTGTTTTTGTTTTCACTTCCATGTATCTTAAATCAGGAAACATATTTCATCATTTTTAAATCATTTTATCTTTAGGTGATTGTGAATGTCGCTGTGTGTGTTTTTTAGGATGCTGTAATCAACCTGAAGACACTGCAGGAGATTTCAAGTCAGCTTGGTTTTGAGTGGACAGTTTTGGCATACGAGCTTGACTTCAGCAGAAATGAGATAGGCCGGTTCCACACCAGCTCTACAGAGAAGAGTGTCCAGGCCAGAACCATGTTGGAAAGCTGGTACAGTCTGTGTGTGTGTGTGTGTGTGTAGCTTGGTGTTGTGGTGAGATTTACATGAGGCATACAGGGGTGTTTCCTGAATTAACACCTGATCAGTAACACAAGGGGGTACTCAAGGGTGTAGCGTTCCCATCATTCTGTGCAATGTTGGCTTAAATGTGTACCTTTAAAACCAACCGTTTTCCTGTGATCTCCTACACTTTGACTTTTGGGCTTTTCTCCACACTACCAGTTTCCCTTCCTTGGTTCACAGGTATGAGAGGTCATGGGACAAACCCAATAAAACCAAGCTGCTGCAAGATGGTCTGGAACGAGCAGGCAGGCGCGACCTGGCTGAAAGGCTGCGCTGCCTCCACTGGGGCCATCAGAAGCTGAGCCGCAGGGTGGAGCTGCCCTCTGCCTTCCCCTTCCTCATCACAGTGCATAAGACCATCCACAACCAAGACGCACTCCGCAGAATCAACGACCTCAACCGTAGATACACTTAAGGATGGCTGAAAATGCAAAAAATAGCTGTGTCTGCGCCCACAGTTCTTACTTTACAAGCATGTAGTAGGCTATACTGCACACTGTAAGTAATCTGAAATGAATAGAGTGAATGTCACTGAACATGAGAAGTATGGGGCGTGTATATTGTCATGCCACTTTTTGTCCTGTAAGAAATTAAAGCTTTGCAATAAAGATAAAAAGCTCATTCCTAGGACTCATCTCAAATTCCCATTATTCCATTAAAATGCTATTGTTTTGTAACAGTACAGAAGCAAAAGTTATTCAGTCTACAGTGATGTGTGCTATTGTACAATGTATATATTAAACTGTGCTTCGTAAGTGCAGTGAGGTTTTGGTATTGCAGTATTATTGTGCTAAAATATGTTCTGACATCACAAACGTGTAGATTTGTTTGTGAGTTTAATGGTTCGTGTTTGGTTGTTTTGGCATGAAGTGCTCTGTAACATTTATCAGAGGGGAGAAGCAGAAATAGTAAATAAATTTGAAATGAATTTTAATTCAACTAAATGTAAATACATCACGTGCCTTCAAAATTAAAAGTTGGAAGAAAAAAAAATCAAATAATTAAATTTTAACATTAGCACAGGGTGCTGATTCATCGACAACCAAACATAAATTGACCTACTTACACAAACCAATAAGAGACGTGAAATCTCTTAGCAAGGTTGTGTGAGCGAGCAGTGACCCACAGTGGAAGCCAGGCAAGGTTGCCTTCAAAATAAGAGACTACACTCTCTTAATTTTGGTTTAAAAACACTAATTTGACTTGTAGAAAGTGGTAAACGTGCAGACTGAAATCAAAATCCTTTAAGGACTCATCGAATTAAAAATGAAGTGAAACAAAGAAAAATCCGTGCAACTCTTGTGCACAAAAGAATGCTTTATTTTTGCAATTTCTCTCGGAAAATGTAGTTCTAACATTGGCTAAATTGACTGTTGTTTTATTTTAGGAGACTGCTACACTTAAGGCAGATAACAGCGTTAAAAAAAATCAATGAAAATTGACACTACTGTTACAGCGACCCTCGAGGTGTAATCTGTGGATTATCCCTGATTTAAACGCGACATTATGATCATTTGGAGACCGAGAACTGTTGGCTTCCAGACACACAGCGGACCGCTCAGCTGTTAAGTCGCTGGTAATGTGTTTTTCCACAGCATATGTTTGATTTTCATTTGCAAACGCGTGTGTCATTACCAGCGCGCAGACCCTGTCGAGTATGTTATTTGAAGCCGTCGCCGACGTAAATTAGCAAATTGCTCACCGAAGTTGCAGCTATGGCTTCGGCGCTGAGTTGTTTCAGTGGCCCCGAGGTGCTGGAGGACGTGAATCACGCTCGGGGTTTGATGAACGAGTTGAAGTTGCTGTACGACTGTCGGCTGCTCGGGGATGTCACCATCGGGGTTGAGTGCGAAGAGGAGTCTCTGGAGCACAGCGGCGAGTCAACCAGAGGTGACATTGACCAACTTTTCCTGTGTAGCCGCAACGTCCTCGCCGCTGCCAGCCCGTACTTCAAGAGCATGTTCACCGGGGGGTTGAACGAGAGCATGCAGGAGAGAGTGGTCATACGCGGGGTGGACGCTGAGTCCATGTCTGTTATCATCGACTATTGCTACACAGGCAGGGTGACCATCACGGAGGGCAACGTGCAGAGGCTGTACGCAGCGGCCAACATGCTGCAGCTCGAGTACATCAGGAAGGCTTGCTCCAGTTTCATGACAAGGAGGCTCGACCTCTCCAACTGTGTGGGGATACTGAAATTTGCAGACACCTATGACAATCCTGAGCTGAAGGAGAATGCACAAGCTTTCATAGCCAGGAACTTCAGCCAGGTGTGTAATGGAGGGGAGCTTTGCGAGCTGGATTTGATGCAGTTAAAGGAGTTGTTGTCTCTGGACACTTTGGATGTGGACTGTGAAAGGAAAGTATGCTCAGCTGCTCTGCAGTGGATCGAGGCTAATGCACCACAGAAAAGGGAGGATGCATTGCAAGCACTCAAATGTGTACGCTGGAACTTGTTTACCGAAAAGGACAAGTGTTACCTGGAGAGCCTCATGGCAAGGCCTTTAATCGAGAAATACCTCTCAACTTTCTTTAACAGGTCCACAGAGGACAGCTGTGGGATGCCTGCAACACCGGATGTACCAAAACACAGAATAGGTGTAAGTGCAAAAGAAATGATTCTCTTCTTCGGCCTTCCCAATGACAACATAATGTGCTGTGACCCATACTCGGAGGACCTGTATTTCATGGCTCCTCCTTTAGAAGATCTCAGCAGTCAGGATTACAAACGTTCCACCATGGAGTCCTTAATCGCCTGTGCCACACCTGAAAACAACCTGTACCTAGCCTCCCACCTTTCTAAGCACTTCTGGCTGTATAACCCTGTGCTTAACAGCTGGCAGGAGTTGGCAGAGAGGCCGCTGGGGAGGATACACTCGGGGATGGGCTACCTCAATGGCCACGTGTACCTTTTAGGAGGAAGGAATCCAGTGACGGACACCAGACTGAAGGAGGTGGAGTGTTACAGCGTCCAGAGGAACCAATGGACGTTTGTGGCTCCTCTGCCTCACTCTTTGGGTAAAATGCAGGTGGTAGCATTGAACGACCACCTGTACGTGGTAAACAAAAGGAGAATGCTTTGCTACGATCCCAAGAGGAACCGCTGGCGTCACTGTGGGTCACTGAGAAGAGACAAGCTTCACAAGGCCTGCGTATTTCAGGACCAGATCATCTGTGTGTGTGATATCCCTGTGGTGAAAGCCTACAGCCCGACCAGGGGGGAATGGAAGAGGTTGGGTGACATTCCCATTGACAGTCGGGCTCTTAATTACCAGGTGATCCAGCACAACAACAAGCTGCTCCTCCTCACTCAGACTTTACTGCAGCACAACAAAAACAGGGTCCTCATCCATGAATACGACCCAGCCAGGGACACCTGGAAGAATGTCATGGCAGTGTATGTGTCCACCCTGGGGCCTGTGTGCGTTTCAACACGCGTGTACCCAGCATGCCTAGGCTCTGCTCACAGCTTCTCTACAGAGGAGGACGATGACAGTGGCTCCAGTGCTGACTGGGACTTTGATGGGTTGACAGACGCAGACTCTGACTCTGGCAGCTCTAGCTCTTTCTCAGATGAGAACTGGTAGTGAAATGTGTTACTGTGTCAAAGAACGGTTTAACTTATTTATAATTTAATGGATTTTGACAGGGATCTGTCTGCAAGGAGAGGTCACAGATCCAGATTGAATTCAGTATTAAAATCAGTCACAGAGTAAAAGCACAAGCCGTTTAGAAGTTGAAATATGTACATGTTTTATTTTATATCTCATCACAGCTCTGGCTAATGACCATTCACAGCAGAAGCAGAATTGGTTTCAGTGTTTCCTTTCGACCGTTTTCCTCACAGTGAGAACAGATGTCAAGAGTCAAGGTTATTGTGCCTCAATTTGTATCATGTCCTGCCAGGAGGAAGGACAGCATGATGCCTGGAAGGGTCTTGTAGACTCTTGTTTACACAATAAATTAAGAAAAATACATGATAGAAAAACAACTGTTCGGCTACAGGTTCCTTTATAGAGTGAAGCATGTAGCTTCATAATTTAGCACGTTAATAAAGGCAGCTGAATGAATCGTACTCCAGAGATGCAGTATTACACTTCCGTAAAATTTGACCTACAACTTTACAACTTTTCAATTACAACTTACAAGAGACGGATTAACAAAGAACGGTCAAAATTGAAGCAGCAGAGGCCGATGTATCCTGACTTTTTGTCTCTATGGTCATGCTTTTAAAAACAGTGGGATCCTGTTCCTTCCATAATGCACCGGTTTCCAAAATGAGCCTTTGTAGAGTAGATCCACAAGATGACAGAAAAATGTGAAATTAAACCAAAGTCTGATATACCTTTTCACCACAGAGACATTTTAACTTGTCGAACACAGGTGTTACTCATGAGATAATTAACTGCTGTATTGCACTGCAATAACTGCCGGAACTGAGCCATCGTTAATGTAATTAGTTCCACCTGTGCTTTTCCTGCTATGACAACTCAAAATGTCAGGTGTGAAAAGGTCTGTGAATCTGATTTGAAAGTGATCTGATGCTACACCAAGGCTATCAAGACGCATTTAGGAAGCGAAATGACATTCAAATACAAGATTAACAGACTTCGACAGGTTGGAAAAAGAGCAACTGGGGATGTTCATCAAGCAAATCCTGAATAAAAACACTTGCATCTTGCTTTTGAGTTCATTTTCAGTATAGCAGGGAAGGCTTGTTTCTTTTTTGTGTAAAATTATATGACCAAAAAAAAAAAAAAATTATGAACCACTGCCATCTTCAACACCCACATTTTTTCACATTTGCCATTTGGAAAGCAAGCTGTCTGTTAAAAATGTGTGCACTACAAACACAAGCTGAGATACCCAGGTGATGTTACTTGTGAATTTTTTTTAGACTTGACAAAGCTCTTCCAGAGCTACAGAAGATATTATATGTGAAACTGTTTGCACATGCTGAGTAGTACTCCCCATGATAAGTAAATTAACATGTTTATGTTAAATCAGTGGAGGGCCCCTTTAATGCTTTAAAACTTAGTGCTTGTGTTGTGTAATATAAAGACAGAAATATTTGCTAACAACATGTTATTTAGCTTGAATACAGGAGCACACATGCTTACGATCAGTGTAAAATCCTGATTGTGATTTTTGGGACATCAGGCAGCTCAAGTGCCTCATGTTAATGACACGACTGGTCATTTACAGGGCTTTAAAATTTGCTGTCCTTTTTTATGTTGATGATGCACATCGAGATGTTGCACACAACCAGCGTTGTGAAAACTACTGTATGAAATGTAGAAGCCAATGTACTGTACACTCACTCAGGTTTAGGCTTAAGCAAAAGCCTGTATGCCATGATTGAAATTTTTTTGAGATGTAGTGAAATTAGGTAGCTTTGGCAACAAATTACACATTTTATTAAATTTATTTGAAACTATTCTGTTATGTGTATGTATGTTTTTGTATCTATTTTTTTTTTAACTTAACATTTATGTTATAATCACAAATCAAAATTCACAGTGTTTTCAGTATTGTTTGGTCCTGATGAATTGTTTTAGTTGGAGGAAATTTTGTCTGCATGTATGCAACTGTTGCAAAGCCACTGCCCTCACCAACCACCCCATACACTCAGTTACCAGTTTATAATCTGTGTTTAAACACACTGATGTGTTTTTGTGTCTCATTGATATTAATATTGTAGACTAAATATTAGAAAACACCTTGGTATAATGCAATACCACAAACTACAGCCTCCAAAATGTTGATAAAGTTCATCAACACCTCTCTAAACAATAAACATAAACTTTCATGAAGGTAGGATTTAATACAGGGCTGTTGTATTGGACTGTATGTTTTAGCTAGGTGTACCTAACAAACTGGTAAATGAGTGTAGGTCTCACCATTGTGTCTGTATGATGGATAGTTGAAGTGTTATATTTTGAATGTGTGTGAGGGGGAAGGGTTGATTGGCTGTGGTAACATGTGGCCTGGATTGTAAAAGCTGTTTTAGTGTATGTGTCAAATAAACATCTGTTTCTGATGCAGAGGAGCATTTGTGTGTATTTTTCTTTTCTTTTCCAAAGTTTATGGCCACGACATGTTGAAACTGAAGGATGCAGATCAATAGATGAAGACGACGATGTGTGAATATTGTGAATGTAATGAGGTGGAAAACGGTATTAATTGTATGTACTACAGTCTTTACTTCATGATTTGCAAACATCATTTTTAAACATGAGGTTGAATATACATGTTGTACAGTTTGGTTTGTTGTTGATTAAAGTGTCTGAATAATTCCATAACATGTCATGTAAATTGCGAGATAAGAAAACAAACAATTTTAAGATACTTGTTTTTACATATTTTACTTGAGTACTTCCATTTTATGCTACTTTATACTTTCATAAGCAAGTATTACACTTTTTATTGCACTACATTAACTTGATAAATTTAGTTATTATACAGATTCAAATTAATATCACTACATATAATCAACAAATAAATCATGATGTATTATTAAAGGTTAAAACTAGATAATATTTTAGTGCTCAATTGTTTAGTAATCAATCCTGCAGTTGTCCAAGCTCTGCTCTGATTGGTCCAGCCTGAGAATAGTTTGATTCTCAATCATGCAGATCACAATCACCTGAGTGATGAATGTGTTTGTGTCTATATATTGGATGTTCTGCTTTGTGATGATGATTTGACAATGCCTGATGAAGATCTCTGGTAGACTGAAATGTTGCTCAATTAAAACTGCTGGGAGCTACTAGCACAGTGTGTGGATCTTTTGTCTGTTTCTTGCTTCAAGATTTTATTGATCCCCATTGGGAAGTTCACAAGCTACACAGCAGTAGCCTATATAAAATTAGTTCTACCCTTCTCAGCTGCAACATTAAAGTGATATATACATTAATGTAATTCAATAATCAAATAATACTTCTATACTACTTTTACTTACTTAACTACTACTACTACTACTACTACTGAATACCTTCCATAAGAAAATAAATAAGAAAATAAAATATAATAAATATTATTATTATTACAAAAAATCGCCAATATGTTGTATAAATCCGGCTAAAGTGGTGAATAACGTTTTACAGTGTGCAGACTTAGATACAGTCTAAGGTCCAGACAGAGCAAGGCAATTATTTGTGGTTTCACATTCTCGCGATATTTCAGCACCGTCCACCCGAGATGATGAGCGATGGCAATAGAAAACAAACCTGGGGTGGAATTTGACACAGTTTTCAGTCGAAATGACTCTTTAGAGCTCTCTTCGCACCACGATTATGAAAATGTACAAGCTCGCATTTTTAAGATAATAGTGATAGGAGATTCAAATGTGGGAAAGACGTGTTTGACTTACAGATTCTGCGGGGGCACTTTCCTGAAAAACCCAGAGGCAACGATCGGAGTCGATTTCAGAGAGAGGACGCTGGAGCTCGATGGGGAATGTATCAAGGTGAGATGAACCATAAACACACACCTACAGTTTAATGTCACACATACATTATCTTCCTGCTTAATTAACGCAGCCATCTGTCTGAGCTAAGGCTCATAAGTGGACGCCAAGGAGAGCCTGACCTGGAGCCTGTTCTTAGATATTCAAAGACTGGTGATGGCACCGTTTCAAAACATTGATTTCAAAGAGATGGGCCTTACCGGTCTGATAGACTATATGTCCTACAACCTGCCAGCTTAAAAAAAAAAAAAAAAAAAAAATCCCTTCATAGACATTACAACCCTGCAATAAAAGGTAAACAGCAAAACTGGACCATTAAGATTTTATCTTTGAATCTGCGAGTCAGATATGCCTTTTAATTTTCCACTACTTCTCCCACAGTATTGTTATAGTGATAAAGAGACAGTGGACAACTGTAGCATGGGAGGGTTGCTAAAACAATGAGAATCTGTGTGATGACATGGAAGAATCTAAATTGACGTTATAGTGATTTCTGTTCTTAGATCAGCCACTATATATTTCAAAACTGTGGACCATAAACGAGGCTGGACAAGACCTGTGGAGCTTCTTCATGGTAGACTTGGCATAGGAGGAGAACCACAGGTGAAACTAATGTCTCTGACAGTGGCTCAGTTCCATAGTAAGCCAGCATGGAAAATACCAGGACCCAGAAACTAGCTGACCTAAATTAAATGTAGTTGCTTTAATATCATCAATAACACCTGTGCTTTTCCTGTTATGATCAACCATAACGCCTTTTTTTCAAAGCATACATTTTGACATGTCATAGGTCAAGCACAGGTGAAACTAATAACATTAACGATGGCTCCGTCCGTTTGAGCCAGCATAAATAATACCAGGACCCTGAAACCGAAGCAGCTAAATGGAATCTAGCCATCGTTAATTTAATTATTCACACCTTTTTGCTTCTTACTGTGACACTGTGACTTCTGTGAAAAAGGCCTGTCTCTTTGCCGCCAGCAATCACATCTATTTAAAGAATAAAACATTCATTTGAACCTAGATTTGGCTTATTTACCCCACCCTCTTGTCATACACATTGAGCTAGATTGTGATATATAATATTCTACAATTTTCTTATTGTCTCAAAATCCAATATTGAATAATATTGTCTGTGTATAGCTTATTCCCCTGTGCCATAGGCCTTCACATTTGGGCCACACTGTTGCATTGGGTGACATGTCCCTTCATTACTACACATTGTACTGTTTTTTGAGTCAATCCCACATACACCATACAGACTCACAAATGTCCCATATTTTATAATGTATGAATCTGTGCACCACCAAAGTGCACCATTTACTTTTGTTAAAACACTATAGGAAATTAGAAATATATATATATATATATATATATATATATAATATATGTATAATATATAATATATCTTCAGTAGGACAGTAGCTGACAAACAAAACAGGCAAGGGAAGTCAGTGAGTGTTGAGAGTTGGATTGACACATTGTTTTTCATGTTTTCCTGGGATTGTTTGATAATAAGAAAACTATAGAATAACCACCAATTTAATAATATTAATTGAACATTATTTGAATGTTTGTTTCTATTGTGATAGTTGCAGATCTGGGACACGGCAGGTCAGGAGCGCTTCAGGAAGAGCATGGTGGAGCATTACTACCGCAGCGTCCACGCCGTCATATTTGTTTACGACGTGACCAGCCTCCCTTCCTTCGAGAGCATCCCTGAGTGGATCGAGGAGTGCAGCCGACACTCTGTGGGGCCCCTGGTGCCCCGCATCATGGTAGGAAACAAGTGTGATCTGAGGGACCGCCGGGAGGTCCCTGCGTCGACTGCCCAGTGTCTTGCTGACAGCTACAACTTCCCATTGTTTGAGACTTCAGCCAAAGACCCTGCTGAGAAGGAACATGTTGATGCTATCTTTCTGACTATAGCTTATAGACTGAAGAGCCACAAACCTCTGAGACTGAAGCAGCTGAGTGAGAGCAGTTCAAGGCATTTGTGGAACCAGAGAGAACAGGAGGCAGCAGCTTGTCAATGCTGAGGTCACCTCCATCCTGTATTGAGAACATGAACGAAGCCTTCAGAGAGAATAATGGTGCTGAGGAAAGCAGCGTTGAACCGGGCTTCCAAACAGAGACTGAATTCAGAAAGGCCTCTTAATAAGATAGAAAGGACAGAAGCTTACTATAATTTTACACTTTCCCCTACCTACTGCAAGGCACAGGTAGTGACAGTATGGGTAATAGTGTATGTATACGTTTGCACAAAATTAAAGCAACATTTCAATGAAATGCATGAATGGATATGGAGTTATAACAAGTATTTGTAGCTCAAACTGCACATAAAAACACTTTGAGTATGAAAACAGCATTGCAGAGTGCAATTTAGTACGTAGACAAATTATATGCAATCAGACGTCTAACAGCACTATACCTTATCTACAGAATTCAACACAGACAGTAAATTAAGGGAAAAACAGATTTCAATGGGCATAAAGGGACCAATAAGGTAAATTAACTGTGAAGAGAACTGTGCAATTATTTACTTGAACAAATGTTTAGAGTGATATTGCAACATATGTTTTGATTTTGTTATTGAATGTGTATTTCTCAATACAAGCATATTAAGCTTTGTGTCAGCCCATCCACCATTACAGTTTTTGTTGAGAGCTCAGTCAAAACAAGAACACTAATGACAAAATGTAGCTGTCTTTTGGGACAAAATGCAAATCCACATAGTTCACTTGAAATGCATGAGTGAACACAAGCTCAGCGGTTCTTGAAATTCATGTTATACCGTATTTATGGTGTGATGAAAAGATCACATCTGACTGACTTTTGTTGCATGTGTGCAATAACGCAAACACTTTCCAACTGTATGGAGATTGGTGACAATGTAACGCTGCAAATCAATAAAAGTGGTTTTATCCCTACAATTTTAATTTCTTTAGGTGTTTGGTCTTTTGTATGTTTGGTGTGAAGAGTGTAATAACCATACTTTCTGCCATCTTAGACAGCTGCATCAGTCAACATTGCTCATTCACATAACACACTGCATTTCCTACAGTATTCTTTTCTGTGATCTAAAAAGAAAAAACAGGTTATTGCTTCAGTAAGTACAGGGCACAGCTACTGTGATTCATCTGTGCACTTGATGAACTGGACAGTGTCCTTGCAGAATGCCGAGCATCAACACACATTATTTCATTCATGTTGAAATCATTGCATGTTTCAGGTTTGATGACTGATTTGCCAAAACATGAAGACTTGTATGAGGAATCATATGTTGACATTTTTGCATCGAAAAATGCTTGTTAATTAATTTATCATTATTATTAGAATTAGTATTAGTAGCAATAGTAAAGCGTTAGAATTATTTTTGCTAAATTGAAACTTGCATTACACATGTTCAAATTATAATTTACTTATAATTACATGACACTAAACAATTATAAATACATATAATATGTATAATAATGGTTTTTCTATTAGCTTTATTTTATTGGATAACCAGAAGCTTCATCCTAGTTTAAAAAAAATTAATGTTGACAAAATATTTTCTCTACAAAGTCCATTTATTAACGTCACACTTCATGTCTTGTCATGAAATCGTAGATGTTCAAATTTTCCATCTCTCTGAGCACTGAGAGGTCTCTCATCTATGTTGGTAAAATTTTTTAGGTTTTACCACCTACCTGTGGTCAATTTATGCATAGCCACAGCGTCGATGATATGTTTTTGAAATCCTGTAAATTAGCAATTTTCCTCATTGAAATGATCTTTCCCCAACGGTTTTTCGAGATATATATGAAATATTTCACAATTGAAACGAAATCAAATAACCTAGTGTGCCATTAAAACAAACAACTCACTTTACAATATCCGCTCTCTGATTGCTGTGACTTCGTCGATGGATGAGCACTTATGAGGGAGCTCATGTCTACCAGCTTGTATTAAGTCCATGAACATAGCACAGAAACCGAGCCGTCTGTATTCTTAACGCGGCGTCTCTCTGCGGCCATGGTAACACTTTCCTCAATACCGGACCTCTGATTCAAAAAACTACACAAACAAGTGCTTTTCATGCAGGTATGAGCATTACCATCACATTGGATATGTAGTTAAAGGATATAATTAAGGTTGTTGGCCGGTCGTTTTTGTCTAGCTGTATATTTAACACATGCTGGGAGGATTAAGTAGCGTTTACGTTATTTATTGGTGCACGATTCGTTTTGTTTTATGTCTGTGGCCTAGCAGCAAGCTAACAAAAGCTAACGTCGGTAAGATGGCAGGGTGTAGACAAGTAAAGAAGCTCATTTGAATAGTAGCTTGATTTAACCGTGTTGTGAACTGTCTGCGATAAACATTTAAAATCACACTCCCTGAAATCAGATGGCTTAACTACCATGCTTTTGACCACTGCAGTTGCTGCACCTGACTCGAATGGAGCTGCATCATCTTGTAATGACTAGAATTTACAATGTGGTTTTGACCTAGTTTAAAATGCTGTATCACGGGTAAAGCAACATATTTTCATGTCTTTTGAATCTGATTTAAGATTATTGGTGTCAATGTAACACTGAAAACTTTAGTCTGTGTCTTAGATTTAGATCACAAAACAAGTATATTTTGAATATTTGAGAATATCGTATGTGGCAACATTACACATTCTGCAGCTGTGGATCAAGGACCAAAGCCCTGATGTGTTGATATGGTTTTAAAAAATTCTCAACGTCATCCATACGAAAGGTTGTGCATATAACTATATACCTAATTGGACCAATTCTTAGACATCTGGAAACCTGTTGAAACTATTATTGAGAAATCGGGCGTTTAAAGTGATTAACTTATAGTCAAATGTAACTGTGGTTAAATATTTTATTTAATCTGTACATAAACGTGTGTATTGACAGTTTAATACATACACCCAGCTAAAACTCTTAACTCCACAATAAATCACTCATCATGGTTATAATGATGAGTTTGTGTTGAAGTTATTGTAGAGATTTGTTCATTCAACTTTATGGTCATTTTGTTGTTGAACTGTATTATTGTATATATGTATGTGGAGACATTTTTTATTTACTTATGTTGTATTTTATTTGGGTATAAATATGAATGAGTGAGCAGAAGAGTTTGCAACAAAAGATCTGGATGCATCCAGTTAGGGTGTGGGTCTGTTTGTGATGAGGTGATGGTTTTGTGCAGGTGTTTGTTTTGCGCACTTTAATGTTGACCGTCAGTGTTACTATCTGTATTATAATTACCGCACCTGTGTTGTGCTCTTGTTCTTTAAATGGGGAGATGAGGAAGATAGAGGTGTTAAGACGAGACATATTTTATTAGGTTACCAGTGTTATTTAAGTTGTGTGATTTTTATGATTTGAATCCCCATTAATGTTATGTACTTATAAAATGCTAATGAAAATACACAAATAAAACTAACTAACCAACATTTAGCCAACACCATTGTTCGAGTTAAAGTAATGACCTCTTTTTTTCCCTCACAATATAGCTATTATTCAGCATGAATTTGGCAGAGATATGTGACAACGCCAAGAAGGGTCGTGAGTATGCTTTGCTTGGGAACTATGACTCCTCCATTGTGTACTACCAGGGTGTCATTCAACAGATCCACAAGCACTGTCAATCCCTCAGAGACCCTGCACTTAAAGTCAAATGGCAACAGGTGAGGTAGCATTAACAGGTATATGATTGTATATAAGGGAATTTATTCTCTTTTTTTTAATTAATATTCATTTTTAATTTATTTTAATGTGTGTTTTAATTCAGTGTTGGACTTTTTGTATTTGTGAATAATTGACTGCTGCCAAATAGCCCTTCTGTAACATTAAGGCTTTGCTATAAACCCAGTATTGTTTACCACAGACATCTACACACATCAACTGTTGTATTTCAGTAGGATGCAGTGCTGATGTAATACTCTTCTTCTTCTGTTTGTGATTAGGTCAGGCAAGAACTCACTGAGGAGTATGAGCAGGTGAAAGCCATCATGGGAACGCTCGAGAGCTTTAAGTCAGAGAAGCCAGTCGACATCCTTGCACCTCAATCTGACGAGAGACCTGAGGATCCAGCAGTTTGGCCCCCTCCCATCCCTGCAGAACACAGGTGTGTGTGTGCGTGCGTGCGTGCATGTGTGTATGCATGCACATTTTGTTTTATTCTATTTGGAATAAGGAAGCACTTTGAAGTATCAAGACAGCTATTTTGCATAATTTATTTCATCTCTACCAGCACAATGTGACTCATCATGCTGGATTTTTTTTACTATCTGTTCATTGAAGTGGACATACCAATCTTTACCACCACAAAGAACTAGCAGAGCTGGTTTAAAGTTCATGTCACTCTGTGGGAACATTAGGCACACATTATTATCACTATTTCCTCAATTGCAAATTATCATGGTGTGTCCTACTCTTATCCATGTGCGTAGTTTTAATCCTGTGTGCGTGTCTTTGAAGGAATCCTGTTGCAGTGAAGCGTCCCAACAGTGCAGTGAAGCAGCAGAGGAAGGACTCCCCGGGTCTGCAACATCGAGGGGCAGGACCAGGAGGACGCGGTCAGGCCAACCTTAAACCAGACCGACCGGGATTCAGAGATGCCCGTGGCACAAAGGCCAAAGACGATAAGGTCAGACTGCAGATGATGATTAGTGGTTGAGTGAATGGATAGATGAATTAATCAATCTGTCCCCAAAAATACCTGTTTTTGGTTTTATCAGTCATTTTTCCTTCTTTCTCCTCTCAGGGAAAAAAGGCCACTGGCGACGGACCAGGGGATGTAGAGCAGAAGAAATTTGATGCCACAGGATACGACAGTGACCTGGTGGACTCACTGGAGAGAGATATTGTGTCCCGTAACCCTAATGTACACTGGTATGGTAGCATACACACACATTCTTACATACTCCTTTTACACTTTGTGCTGCAGGGGCTGTTTAGTTCAGCCGTGCTGACTGAATTCTCTTGTTGAACTGTAGGGATGACATTGCTGATCTGGAAGATGCTAAGAAACTGCTGAGAGAAGCAGTGGTGTTACCCATGTGGATGCCTGACTTTTTTAAGGGCATTCGTCGCCCCTGGAAGGTACACACACACACGCACGCACACACACACACACACACACACACACACACACACACACACCGAGTGACTGCAGCATAAAATAGTAGTAATAGTATATAAAGTAATAGTAATTTCCTCCTCTAAATATAAAGGGATGTAGTCTTTCACAGGAATTGTGTTTCAAATATTGAAAAAATTAATTTTCTTTTATCATAAGTCTCCAAGCTTTCTAACTGTTTCTATAACAACAGTTAATAAGGAATGATTTACATCTGCCCGGGGAGGTTTAAGTTTTAAGATCTATCCTAAATCTTTATTGTAAGTAACCTGTATGGTGCAACCTGCTCTTACAAAGTTGTAGTGTAACTCCCACCCTATACAAAGTCTTTCATATGTTTGCATCACCAGCAATGGGCCTGCTCAGTCACGCTACCTCTCAGTGTCTACATGACTGAATGACCAGTCTGAGCTGAGCTTCATCATGTGAGGCTTCTTCCCCTCAGGCCTGCCATGTGAGGGTCAATACTGTATCTTTTTTTTTTTACAGCAGCACAATGCTTTCCATTTGTCCGACATATGCGTGCATAATTGAACTCTTTACTCGGTTAACATAGGTGCAGAGCTCTTTCTCCCTTCTTTTTCGGATTACTGAAAGTACAATAAAATGAAGGATTAATACATTGTAGAAAAAGACATTTTAAGGTCACGACTGTTAAAGTGGAACACAGGTAGGCAGAAGGTATTTGTTACATTATAGCTGACATTTAGTATAGAGGTCTGTGCTGCATGGTTACTGCATGTGCGCCCTCCCACCTGCTCCTGCTGAGATTCTGATAAATCTCTAGTTGCATAAGTTTTTTTTTTTTAAATTGAAAATCTGTCTGCCCCATCCCGCTGTGAATATAAGACACATTAGTGTATGGATTCTGAAGCAGCGGGGACTACAAATGCATGAAAATGTAAATGTAATCTCCATAGCAACACGCACAAACCAGATGCCAAAATGTCAGCCATCAGAGCGGCAGTGATGTCTGACTAATGTTAACAAAGGAGATTTGCATCAGGGATGGTACTTTTGTTTAATATTACTGGCATTTAAACAACTGCAAATCAGTGTTGCTTCTGGCATTAGCTCTCTCTCTCTCAAGCTTCCATGATTCAGCAATGAATCAGCACAACTTGACAGTAATTTTAGATGTTTTCAACAAACTGGCAGCAAGTTGTTATCATGAGCTATTAGCTGCCAAAACTGATGGAAACAGTGCCCTTTTTTTGCAATTTTGTCTCTTTCTCTGTGGAGCATACCCTCAGGTACACAAGTAGATTTCACAATAAATAAGTAACTCAGGTTTACCAATTATGCAAAGCAAAGAGCAGTGATACTTGATACTTTTGCTTATTTGCAAGAGATTGTATCTAGTTAGCCTTGTAAATTACAAAAGAGAAAAATTGCCACAAGTAAGTCTGATCAGATCTGCGGGCTTTCAGTCGTGTAGAAGCACATGAAGCGCTCTCTGCTTTCTCAGATTTTTTTTAGCTGCCTTTACTTGTTTATCAGCCCAGTGGATTTAAATGCTACGCATCCTTACTCATACCGATGTTTGCAGGGGTACTGAAGTGAATACACAGTTTTCTGACAGCAGCAGGAGATAGTTTGACATGTCTGCAAGTCTTATGTTAATCTAGATTTTCACAGTGATTGCTTCTGTGACTATCAGAAGTTGTAGTCGCTGCTTGTCAGCCCACAAACATTTCTGTGTACATTTGTTTATGTGTCTTAAGTTTAACAACAGTGTGTTTGTCTCAGGGTGTGTTAATGGTTGGCCCTCCAGGGACAGGGAAGACCATGTTAGCCAAAGCCGTGGCCACAGAGTGTGGGACTACTTTCTTCAATGTGTCTTCCTCCACCCTCACCTCCAAATACAGGGGCGAGTCTGAAAAACTTGTTCGTCTACTGTTTGAAATGGTACGTATACATGTGGGTATGTGGGAGGTAGAGTGGGTCATCTGTTAATCACAGGGGTGGTGGTTCAGTCCCCAGCTCTGTTCACGTGTTGAAGTGTCCTTGTGCAAGACACTGAACCCCAAATTGCTCCTGATGGTCAGGCAAGCAGGTTGCATGGTAGCTCGCTGCAGTCAGCGTGTGTGGGTGGATGAATCAGAGGCAAATTGTAAGGCACTTTAGACAAGCGCATTATGTAAAAATGCTGGTCTATAACGCAAATGTCACAATACAAAACAGAAGCTCGAAACCTATATTTATAGTCCTCTGCCATTTAACATAGGTCAGAAATATATTTGTGATGTTATATGGTTACATTACATGGCTATGGTTATGTTATATAGAAAAAAGTTTCTTAAACTATTTTTGTTTCTTAGGCCCGGTTTTATGCACCAACAACCATCTTCATAGACGAGATTGACTCCATTTGTGGCAGGAGAGGAACATCTGATGAACATGAAGCCAGCCGCAGGGTCAAATCAGAACTTCTGGTTCAGATGGATGGTGAGTGGAATAGAGTAGTGGGCAGGTGAAGCTATGAACAGTTTTCTGATAGAGATTTTTGTGGAGTTAATAAAAAAAATAAACAGAAATTACATCAGAATTATAAATTGTACAGTTAATACCTATGCAACACAGCTGCAGTAATGTTTCTCCCATGGTGTTTGACACCGTTTGGATGAAATCTACTATATTACTCAATGTGTTTGATGTAATATATCTGAATCTGTAAAACTGTAGAAAGCTCAGTACTAAAATAAAACTATTTCAGTAAGATATCCTGGATTCCAAGATCATTATTTGTGCAACCAGGTGTGGGGGGAGCTCTGGAGAATGATGACCCCTCTAAGATGGTGATGGTTCTCGCTGCCACCAACTTCCCCTGGGACATTGACGAGGCATTACGACGACGCCTGGAGAAGCGGATCTACATCCCCCTGCCCACAGGTGACCTCATCACCTACGCACTGACAGCACAACAAAACAAGTGAATCTAATATAAGAGTAATTAATATTGATTCACACTGTGGACTTACTGATGGTTCAAGTGTTTTATTTACTCAACTAATGTATTTATAGTACACAAATATCCAGTTCTCTGAAATTGATGTTCAAATGTGTCATCCTAATATCTGATCAATGCTGTGTGTGTGTAGCTGTTGGTCGTGTAGAGCTTCTAAAGATCAACCTGAGGGAGGTGGAGGTGGCTGCTGATGTGGACCTGGACCTCATTGCTGAGAAGATTGAGGGCTACTCTGGAGCAGACATCACTAACGTCTGCAGGTGTGTGTTTGTTAGTGTGTGTATGCTTTTACAAAAAAAAGTACAAATCAGTAGAATTACATCGACCTAATTAATTGTCAGTTTATCCTGCATCACCTCTGTGTTTAACACTGTTAACATTAGCATATTACATTAATAGAAAAGCAACTTGAAAATGCCTCCATGTAAAAAATATTTATATCACCACACATCACTATTGAAGAAATCTGCCCAAAATAATGCAATAGATGAAAACCCCATATGTGATCTAACCTGTGCAATTATAGAACTTACTTCCATGTTTTTTTTTTGTTTGTTTTTTTAAAATAAAATAGCACTCATAATGACAGACTTAGGTTGTGTAAAATTATTTCCAATCTCCATAAATTCAGAGAAAAAGGTGATTTTTACCTCAAAATTACATTCTTGTTCCTTTTCCCAATCACCTAATCAAAATGTTCTTTCTCTGGCTTTCTTAAAGTTCAGTAAACCAAGTTGCAATGTCTCTTACTAATCAGCTCTAACTCTGTATATAATCATGCTAATTTGTCGTAATGTACATAAGCTCATAGAAAGGGATGTTACTGAACAATCAAAGTCTAAACCCTGAATTTTTACACACACAAAGAGTAATTACATACAAAATGATTAATCATTGGATCATCGGGTCATGTTTCACTTTCTATTGTCATCCGTTCTTATCAGTGCTGTAGCTGCTTCTCCACACAGGCGCAGGATTTTTTGGGGCTCACATACACACACACACACACACACACACATACATATACACTCGAGCTTAGATACACATTCACACCACTAGAGCAAGTAGAGTAATTATTGATGCATGTTTAGCTTCATCGTTACTTTGTGACACACACCATAGTATACTCAGAATATAGCAGTGAATAATAAAAATAATGTTTACGTTTATGTTTAATAATTGATTTAGTTTAACATTTTTCTCATGGGCGCCCCTGGTAGCTTTCATGAAAGAGCATACCTGTCGATCTCTACTGTCACTATAGAAATAAAGCAGAGATGCCAAAGCAAATGTTTAAAAAAAACCCCAAAAAAACAAAAACATTTTTCTCATAACCATCCTGCCCTTGGTGTGGGCATCCATTCTACCATAGCTATGGTTGGAATGGCAGGTATTTTATCTTGCCCAAGTTGTCTGTGTCTGCTCATCTCCAGCTTGCATTGTTTTATTGACCTTGAATGTGTGTGAATATCATCCACACACAGCCTGTAGTCGGCAGGCTTTAATCATAGCCTAGACTCCATCCCTTTTGACAGGAGAAAAACTCTTCAAATATGGAATTTATAACAAGAGCAATACTATTTAAAGTATGCATTGTTTAAGGGGTACATTTCTTTCAATTAACATGTGTGATGAGTAACAGTCATCTGTCCCGTGCCTCTCTCTGCTCCTGTCTTTACATGTGCGCCAGGGATGCGTCCATGATGGCAATGCGTCGTCGAATCCAAGGCCTGAGCCCTGAGGAGATCCGAGCTCTGTCCAAAGACGAGCTGCAGATGCCTGTGACCATGGAGGACTTCACCCTCACGCTCAAGAAGATCTCTAAGTCTGTCTCTGCTGCCGACCTGGAAAAATACGAAGCATGGATGGCTGAGTTTGGGTCAGTATAGAGAGCAGTTAAAGAAGGAACTCGGAGCTTTGGAAAGTATGAAGAGGAGGGCCTCAGGAGTGTATGTCGAAGAGCTGAGTAAACTCCAGTATGTGAAACAGGATGCACATCAGGGATCAAGATAATACAGATGCTCAAGTTCACTTGAGTCAACGGAGACTGGTGCCTTTGAGAGAGCATGATGAGAACTGTCAGTGACTTCACTCCTGCCCTTTCATGTATTCCCTCCTTGTTGTTGCTTTGACACAACTGTCCGTGTAGACACTGTCAATCATCCAGCTGCTGACTGACAAGTGACCTGAGGAGGAACTTGTCTCACACAGGGAACTTTTAATGTAAAAAGTAGCCTAATACACACAGGTAGACCAGGGAATGTACACTAGTTTTACTTAAATATTAAGCCTCATGCAAGAACATTTTCAGATTCTGAGCCTAAGCCCCTCTTACTAATTCCAAGTCGGCTTCCCTGAACTACACAAGCTTGTCATAAATTGCTAATTTCAAACTGACGATTGTCAACTGTCAATATGTAGGTGAGCGTTTGTGAGATTTGGGTAATCAGTGCCCTTAAAATTGCTATGTAAGAGTCCCAGTTCTGCTCCATTTTGGGGCAAGTTTCATCCCCAAAATTTTACCAAAGAGTAAAAAGAAGACCACAGAGCTTCAAGATCTGCTGGCAGAAATCAGCAGCTGAAAACATAAAAGATTTGGCACCATAAGTGGTCATTTTAGGAGACCTGAAACAATTAGACAATCATAATACAGCCAGCAACAACACATCATCAGTGTAGAATCATATTGTGACAGAAAATAAGGAGGATAAAGATGTTCGACTGTCAGGTGCAACAGAGGATGTTCACCTGGGCAGCAATAAGCATACCAACCCTGACACAGCTGTTTATGTGAGAGAAATTTCCCTACAAATACAATAAAACCTACCAAAATGTGGTCAAACCTCTAAATCTGCAAGCCATGATGTTGGTGATCTGATGAACACATTATTAATTTTTGCTTTGTTTATTTTAGTTATTTATTTTAGTTGGTCATCTGCAAATTCCTTCAGATTAAGGCATTATAATACGGGCTGTACGTGACTTGTATGACAGGACAAGTCTGGACCACAAGTAAAATTCATTTGTACTTAAAAATTTTAAGTACAAGAAAATTGTGGCAAAGGTGAAAAAGGAAGATCGTTTGTCACAAATCACTGAATAACAAATGTGTTAGTGCTTGTTATTCTTGCATGAGGCCCGTTGTCTTGAAGAACTGTATGTTTGAGCACTACAGCCTGTGTATTTCCTGCTGACTGAACACACTTGAAGAACCACAATGTCTGTTATGAAGTGACTGATTATGTGTTTGTGTTTGTATGTTTTTTGTTGTTGTTTTTAATATCTATTTTCAATCTTGGTTCAATTTTAGCTCTGTTGAGACAAACAAATGTAGTCAGGCTAAAATAACATGTCTATGTGAATTGTTTAGTAATGGATTAATCCTTAACTGCTTAATGGTTCCTGTATTTTATGAATTCTATTAAATCTATTGATCACCCTGAACTGAGTCGGGTTATGTCTTGCCGTCCGTTTCAAATTTCTAATGAGCAATTCAGAAGCTTTTTGCTGTAATGCCAACAGTGAACCGCAATGTCTTTTGAGAACTTAAAAAAAACAAAACAAAATTGGTCAGGAAAGAATAAAGTTTCCCTCTGAATGTTGAAATCTCAGTCAACTCCATCTCCATCAGTCAACCACAGTGTTTGTTGGTAAGATTTAGAAATGTGGACAATGTGTAAATTGGTCTCTGTGTGTTTGGAGCAGGGTGAAGCAGCATCATTTATACGTACATTTGCCTGTTATATCATCATGAATATACATACTGGCTGTTGCTTGTTTTGTGTTAGGACAGTCATATAGTTTTTGACAAAATACACTGTGCCCCCTGTTGTTAAGATTTTGTGAGATGCTTTCTGTCTCTTTGCTGTTTTGCTTTTCGTTTCTTCTGTATGACTCAAACACTCCTACATCTTTTCTAGGTCAACAGATGTGCATTTGACGTTTGAAATGTCTTATCCTGCTTATTACTTTTCAAATGTAGGACAAATAGCACACAGCACTCTTCTCTGTGCTGGTGCTCAAATTATTTATCACTCTCGACTGTTTGTCCTTTGATTAATCTAAAACAGATTTTACAGCAGGTGGCTTTATTGTCGAGCAGTCTTTGTATCCTCTAATTTTGCAGCACCCCCACCCACATAATGGATGGATGGATGGATTGATGGATTGTATTGTAAGAGTGTTATAAAAGACAAGACAAAAAAATGATTTTTTTGTTTTTACTGTTTTGAAAGCAAAGCATTTTCCAAGAGCCTTTAATGAAATCTGATTCTTCCCCATGATATAACACAGCTGCAGCTGAGCATTTCAGTATTGTATCACTGTCCCCATAATCTATTGTTAGTTTGCAATGTGATCTATAGATATATAGCTAAGAAACAAAAGTATTTTTAAATATTTACCAGCATCGTGACCGACCTATAATAGCACACAGTTTTATCCTAAGTATAATGTATCCTGGTGCCCCCTGTCTACTAATGAAGGAGCTTGTAGGATGTGACAACCAACGTGTCCATTGTTGTTACACTTGTTCTTGAGGTGAGAGGTGTTTCTATTATCTTTTATTATCTATTGGCTTACAAAAATAATAGGAACACCTGTCTAAACAACATTAGCCTATGTGTTCCCAGAACCCTACAACCATCCTCACCACTCATGGTCTGTAAACCTCATTTTTGGTGTTTATATGATATATGATCTAACACAAGCGAGTGGGTGATATTAAACAGGCCTTTCACAAGCACATCTTCCACAGCATCCACATTATGTACAATAAAAGTGTATGCACACATTCCTCTTTGCTGCTGGGTTATTTACTCAGACATATTGACCCCACAATAGCACAAGAGTCTGCAGAGAAAAATGTCTCACACTTAACAGGTTGCAATGTTTGATTTGACGTCTTTTGGGTGAACAAGTCAAGAGTGTTTCAGATGAAAACAAGGACATTTGTTTGTACTGTACCCCAGCATCCACAGCCCACCACCTGTGCCTGTGAGGACGGGTGGATGAGGGCTCTGTGATCAATTCTGTCGAGGGCATCAGAGGAATAGTGTGAAGGTCCTTCAGGCTCTGGGATACCAACTGTTAAAACACATTGGAGAGCTGGAAATAGAGGAATGCTAGCCTTAATCAATAATGTATGGGAGATTGGTTGTCTGCCGGAGGAGTGGAAACATGCTGTAATAATCCCAATTTAAAAACCTGGGAAGCAGCCAAACAAGCTTAGTTCTATTGCCCTGACGTCAGTAATATGTACAATAAAGGAACGGATGATAAAAGACAGACTGGTACAGAGCAGGGGCACTAAACAATGGACTCTCTCCTTAAGGAAGATATTGTTATCAAGAAAGCTATACTGAAAGAACCAATAGTGTCAGTATTTCTTCACACTGAAAATGACAGAGATGGAAAGAGTACTGGAAAACTGTACACAAGTAAAACTACTGTTACTAAAAAGACATTTTTATAAAAGAAGAAGTAAAATTACTTGTGTACCACGACCACTGTCAGTGTCCCTGATCAAACACTGCCATGTTGACCAACAGGTGTATGCTGGGGCAGGCTCCTAAGTGGTAACTTCCGGGGCAGTAAAATAAAGGTAACACGGAAGCTCTAGGCTCAATCCCCTACACTGCCCAACTTTTTACCTTATCGCAGATATAAACATGTTTACAGCCTGGTACATAAAACTGTTGTACAGTTAATCTCAGCCTTAATTACAACTATACTGTGTCGAAATTAATGTATGTATAATTTATGGGCATGGCCGCTGACAGTGTTAGGTGTCTGCCAGCTGTCTGCAGGCCTCACCTCAGCTAATTCAAGTCACTGAACGTGACCTCTCGGCTGTGTCTGTGGTGCCGATGCCTCTTGGAGATATTTTCATGCAAATCGCGTACAAATAATATGGCTTGGTGTGTGATGAATTGACTAACAGAGCGTGAGGAAGTCTGTGCTCCTGTATTTTGAGGTGAGTGAAATTATGGCATCATTTTATTTTAGCGCTAATTAGCAGGTATTGGTGTCTGCTCACCCTACCTGGTCTGTTAGCTTAGCTTGTTTACTAGCTTCGGCCGTGACTTCTACGGTCACTTCTACCGCGTGCACCGTCTTTACGCTGTTTGTGTTGGTGATCCCTGCTGTGACTACAGAGCTCATTCAGCTCAGTGTTTGAAAACTTGGAGAAGCTCAGTGAAACCAGAGAGGCTGAGTTGACTGGTTATATTTTGTGTTGAGAATGTGTGAGCAGAGAAGTTGGATTTACAGCAGGTGATTGAGGGATTTGTGTTTACTAGTAACTGAACTGAAAGAAAAGCATTTAGCTAGTTAAGCTAGCTTTTAGCTAGCTGAAAGACAATAATGAGAGACAGTCGAAATAAAATTAGTGTTGTGCCATTTTCCATTTCATATAATGCTCTTGATTAATCTTAGTTTGTAAATCCAGTGAATCCCAGTCATTGTGTGAGCTTTTTTGTTCATGAACTGATGATGACATGACACACCTGCCCAGGAAACATTGAGTAGCCAATCTTGCCAATGCTTGATTGTCTGTAGCACTTCATTTAATTGTACTTCTGTCTTAACAGGTGCCTTTTCAAGATAAATCTAGACAAGGGACCAAAGTGGAGAAGAAAAACTAAAAAACAGACTGGTGCATGCCGGTTTGTGGCAAGCATGCACTCACCCACCTGTCGCTCAAAGCAGCACGCCCTCAGTTATGCACCACTTCAAGCCTTAGTCAAATTTAAACAGGTGTTATATAAGAAATTACCCTCCTTACAGTTGCCATGAAGGAGGAATTAAGCTATAAAGACCAAAACCGTATTTTGTATCAGGCTGTAGTGTTGGACATTTTAACATGCCTCACTTTTGGAGCCAGCCTCAAGTGGTCATTGGAGGAACTGCAGTTTTTGACACTTAGGTGTTGGCTTCATTTTTCAGCCTCTGATGTTGCCACTTGATTGTGACCATATATCCTGCAACTTGACACATTGGCCGAAGCATACAACCACGATGTCATTCACTGCAAGAGTTGACGTCATGAATCAATTAACACGCCTTCAATATCAATATTGCAATTTTGACCGTTCACTTTTTTTATTGGCTCTCTTGCATGACATAGGCTTTAGTGATGATTGGATCTTCAAGCGCTAAAAATGTTTAACAGTTTGAACCGGATTGAAGAATATTCTATTTCCTCATTTTGGGGAAAAAAACAGTGGTGGCACCGGCCCCACTGCAAATATGGCTGAAGGGGTTGTGTTTGCTTATTGCTTTTTCAGAACCAACACAAATACGTAATTTGCTCAGGGATGTTCAAACCTTTGCATCTGCACATAAATATAAGTAGCAGTAGGAAACAGATTATATCAACTAGTATTTAACTAGTGCCTGGTTGAGACTACAAAATCACCGTGTAAATCGCGGGCTGTGTTATGTAGGGTTACCACTCAGGATAGTGTAAGCTGCTGGCTGGTCTGATGCGTTGCTCCAGTGACGCTGTGTGGCTGCATCAGCGCATGGTTGCAACGCGACAGCTCGCAGAGACGTTTCATTTTTTTTCCGCTGCTGTTGTTATCACATTGGGTCTGCCCTACGCTCCAGAATGGAGACCAAGCCGGTCATCACCTGCCTTAAAACCCTCCTCATCGTTTACTCCTTCGTGTTTTGGGTATGTTGCTTTTCGTTATCTTTTTTTTAATCACCCTGCAGAAAATGATCGCAGTCCATTAAAATCCACCGCTGTGTGGGTTTTTTTTTGTTGTTGTTGTGCGTGATGAGCCAGCATCATCATCGACGGAATTATTATCTTGTCTCAATAAACGCTAAATGATCGACGGGGCTCGCCTAACGACACCTCATTTAGGGTTTAAGATATGCATTTTAACGTCTTTTATTAGGTAACTTGTGTTGAGGTTACACATATTTTGGCTGTTGGGCGTCAGTGGTGTCAGTACATTGCACACATAGCATCATGGTTGTTGTCAGTAAGCGCGGTGGAGGATTTTAATATCACCGCAACGATTTAAGTCTGTCTGATAAGACCAACGTTAAGGGCCTAGTCTGTTCGATAAGGCCCGTTTACAGCCCATTTCTGACCACATACTCCACATTTTGGGGTCGTTTCTATATATTCTTAAAGGGACCTTCCACCATTAGTATATACTCCTGTATAGATATTGGTGAAACGTAGCAAAGTAGTAGATTTACTCAAGTACTGTACTTAAGTATTTCAATTTATTTGAGTATTTACACTTTATGTTAATTAATACTTCTGCTTCACCACCTCTCAAAATGGAATATTGTTCTTTTTACTTAAAATTTATATATAAAACCCAGTTCATTAAATATTGATTATGCATTAAAGAATAAACTGCCCAAATGTATATAAATTATTTAAAATGATCTCCCTCTGAACAAGCTAAACTAAAAAAAAAAAAATTGCTTAGGCTACATTTTTATTGCATGAGTAATAATCATCAAATGCATATATGTAATATATATTGTATAAATAAATGTATTGTGTGTGTATATATATATATATATTCAACACTGATAGGAGCCATTCCTCCTTATAACGAGTACTTCTGATTTTTTACAATTTCTTACTTTTATATAAGTACTGTTTTGAATGCAGGACTTTTACTTTCAATGGAGTATTTGCATATTGTAGTATTACTGCTTTTACTTAAGTAAAAGGAGTTCTACTTCCACCACTCTATATAGATAATCAGATCTTTTACTTAATTAAAAGGGTATAAGATTGTAAAAAAAAAAATACTGCATTACAAGTAGAAGTCCAGTATTCAGTATCGTTTTATTGGAAAAATTAACTTAAAGTAGCAAAGTAAAAGTACTCGCTACGCAAAAAGTGTTACATTGCTATTAATTATACCATTGGATTATTATTATTGATTCAGTAACATTTAAGTTTCATCTTTATGTAGTAGCTGGATGCAGTATAACTAGTTTTACTCATTTTACAGACTCTTGGGTGGTTTAACTCAATGTATTACAATGTATTGCATTTTATATGCTCATTTAAGTTTTTAACACCTGAATCTGAAAAGTAACCAGTGACCATAGTTACCAAAAAATGTAGTGGAGTTAAAAAAAAAATATTTCCCTCTGGAATTTAGTGGGTTAATAGTAGAAATTTGCATAAAATTAAAATACTCAAGTATTGTACTTGTACTTGTTCTGAACAGAGTAGACAGTACAGTGGTGGTTATACAACGGTATGTTGATAGTAGCGCTTGCTTTCATTAGATAGATAGATACTTTATTTATGCTCTAGGGGAAAGTCATTAGTCTGCAAATTGATTTCTCAATTAAGCAATTAATCATTTGATCTATATGACCTTAAGAATTTCCTTCAGCCTTGGCTGACATCCTCAAATTGTATATTTTGTCTTGCCAGTGGTCCAAACAGATATTTAGTTTTCCATAATGTAATGGATGGTGAAGAAGCAAATCTCACATTTGAGAAGCTGGATCCACTTCACACATTGAAACTTGCAAGGTTCATTTCATTGATACAATGTTTTGACCTACAAAGTCTTGTCAGGCAAACATCCATGTGAACAAAGGATGAGGTTATATACTGCACACAGGCAAGAAAGTGACTGCTCCAATTACAGTAAGGATATTACTTGATACAAAATAACACTGCGTCTTCTCCTTTTCTGTTGTACATTGTTTTTATCTTGCCCCTGTATCCAGCTGGGGTTGGGTCTGTGCACAGTCCACCTTGTTGGCTTGATGTTTATTTTACCACTTTTACATGCTGTTTCACTGAGGAGCAAAAACATCAGACACGCCCTAAAATATTACTCAAAACAGCACCACAAACGCTACAAAATTTATCATGGAGTTCAGTTAGTACATCTGGATTTTTTTGCCAAGGTCTCGTGCTGCAAAGCTTTGCTCTGATTTGAATTTATAAAAAGCTGTATTCACTATGCTCAGCAAGCAGAATATAAAAACATTCATTTAAAGAATAGATTCTGCCCATCTTTTCACCGTAATTAAAGCTCTTTGTAACAAGTGTCCTTAGGATTTGAGCCAGCAGATTACTTGAGTTGTCTCAGCTACTCAAACTAAATACATTTGGTTGAGACTGCTTCCAATTTTGGATAAATGACTTTGAGATGAACTTGTGAAGTGAGGGGTGAAATAGCATCGCTTATTCCCTGTGTGCTTTTCGGTGGTTTGGATGTGCTTGTGTTTACCTTTCGATTACCAGTTGAGTCTTCAAATATGATGTAGCGTCCATGCAAGCAACAATATGAATCTAAGACCACATATCAGCCAGGCTAAGCAGAACAGTATGACTGAATTTAAAACGTTTTTGCCCATAATTTTTGACCACAGTTGTGAGTTATAGGCTCATTCCTGTGTGATAGATTTCTGATAGCAGCCAAATATGGCCAGAGTGGATTATCTAAATGGAACATGTGGAAGAGGTTTATCCGTCTATAATGTGTTTAGGACATGAAGAGTGCCTTCTCTGTTTTTGCTACATTAACCCTGAACTGTGGGAAGTGAAAATAGCCTCTTGATACTTGGCCATGGACAAAACCTAGATTAACCTCTATCATTGGGGAAGAAAGTCCTGGTGGAAACACAGAACTGAAATCAGACTTTCAGTTAAGATCTGTAGTCATGAAAGCTTAAAAAGAAGAGCTGTGCTGTGTGTCCTCCTGCTCCGCAGACATGTGCCAGTGTCATAGATATGAACTTTTATATTTAGTCAGGATTGGATGGTCCTCCAGCCCTCCCCGTGCATCCACAGCATCAGGTTTCAGATGTCTGAAGCACAGAAGCGTCTCACAGTTCACTGGCTCTCTTCAACCCTGAGGGTGAAGCATGGAGAGGGCACTGGCACCAAGTTCGAAGTGGGAGAGGTGCCTCAGTGTCAGGCCTCGGTTTCACTGTCATCGGCTTGTCATGGCAAATAATGTCTTAAGTGTGAATATGTGTGTGTTGTCATACTTTACACACAGGACGGTGAAATGAAGAGCAGGTGGCAGAGTCTGCGTGGTGTCCTCGCCAGCATATTTTGTCATCACACCTTCTGTTTCTTTATTAGGCCCGGGTAGGAGGAGGAGGGAAGAGGGGTGACCTGTTTTACACTCTGTGCTGTAACCAGGGTGGCTGGGCAGGCATTGAATTTCAAACAAAACGTGCGGGAGGAAGGGGGCTGTTTGGAATTCAGCAACAGACTTGGAGTCGAAATGACTTGTCCCTGTTCCTTGGACTTGATTTCCCTGTTGGCTTTAAAATGAACACTTAAGCATTGACAAGATGATCCTTTATTTGTATGAGGCAGCAGTTATTAGGGGGAGCGACATTTTGTGGCTGATGATGTAGGCCATAAACAGTGAGTACATCGTGATCAAGAGCACTGTTGTCTGAAAAGACAGTCCGCTTAGGCTGTTAGATTCACTGTTAATAGAAACAGTAGATGTCATTACTTACGAATCAAATCATCAGACTGCAGTCCTTCAGTTCAGCTGGGCAGGGGCTGAAAAGAGGGGATACTTTACATTAGTTGATAAATTGATTAGTCAGAAAATTTGACAGAAATAGTCTTGGTTATTTTGTAAACAAAAACATTTGCTGGTTCAGGCTCCTCGATGTGGGGATATAATGCCTTTCTTTGTCATACTTGATAGTAAACTGAATATCTTTGGGTTTTGGACTATGGATAAGACAAATCAAGGCATGTGTAGCATAATCATTTAATCCAGACAATAGTCAGTAGACTAATCGATAAAGAAAATGATCAGTTGTTCCACCCTTACTTTACATTGAATTACATTAATGTGGTAGATACTTTTTATGGTTGGGTAATAGGATCCTATATACTGTGAGATGATAAATATTTCGGTACATTAAGAGATTTTGATGTACCATTTGTACCTAATTATATATCTGAGTTCATTAGACCAATGTCTCCCAATGTTTTTTAACTCATAGCCCCTTAAAACAACGCTTTGTCTACTTGTGAGCCCTCGTCGAAGATCGCATTTGTATGTTGGAGGTGGCCAGCTCAATCAAAGATTCACATTGTGCTGTTTGAATACTTTTATAACAAAGATGTAGAATCATCAACAAACAAAATACACACCAAGCTGGAAAGTATTTTATATATTATCTCAAGCTCCTGCACTTAAATTTGTGAATAAGTGCAAAAACCACTTTATACATACTTATAATATGCGATAATTTACATCATACATCTTTATAAAGCATTAAAATCAATACTGGTAGCACATAGCAGCTACAGTAACACAGGGAACAGCAGGATGAGGATTCAGATAAAGAGATTACAAAGACATTAAACAGACAACTCTTGATATGATCATAAATAGAAAATCTAGTGGCTCTCACTTCTCACTATGTGTTTCACCTGCCCACAGGCTGTCAATAATACCTTTTTATAGGTTTTGCTTTCATAATAGAAACCACAGCAACGTGTTTGTCATAAATACGAAGAGATAAATACATTAGCAGTATTGTGGGGAACCGGTGCAGACCTGAAACTATTAATTAATCAAATATTTGATCAGGAAATGAATTGATTTTACATTTATTTTGTTTTTTGAGATTACCAAAAATGAACTAGTTACTGCTTTTAAATCTAAATATTGTATGGCTTTCCCAGTCCTCTATGATAGTAAACTGAATATCTTCAGGTTTTTAAACTGTTGATCAATCAAAAAAAGCAAGTTGAATATTTCTTCCTTTTTTTTTTTTATTTTTGTAAATCAAACAATTAATTGATAATGAAATTTATTACTAGCTGCAGGCCTTAACTAGTGTATCTGTAAATTCAAGACCTCGCTGTAGCTTATGCTTTCTTCAGGAACTGCCTCAGTGTGTTTTATTGTGCGTGTTTCCTCCCAGCCTAACCGTTCTTATCATCTCGGCCTCAGCTGAAACTCATTACAGTGTTGATAGGGAAATCCACGTGTGGATGTTTGCATGAGCAACAATCGAGTTTAGTCACGTAACACAACAGCCACAGTAGATATTCTCAAACTACTCTCACTGTATTTAAGTATAAAAGAACTCCTAATTAAGAACTGCAAGCAAATTCAGAACAATGCAGCAGTCAAAGGACAGGCAGGCTGGAGGCTGGCGGTTTATCATGGTGAAAAACCTTTGCCCAAGCGTTATGTCTACACCCTGCCAACGGGGCAAAGAGTAACTGTTGTTAGCACAGTCATTAACCTGCAGAGGCTGATGTAAGCTATAGTCTCAGAGTGAACTCAACAGTCAAACTTTATGCTGGTTATACTTGCATTTAGCAGAACTTGTATTTTTTTTGTATTGTTGTTTATCACTGCTGCAATTTTGTCACTTTTACATCACATCAGGCCTGATGATATTGTTGACCAAGAGAGGGAACTTTTCTTCATCACTGTTTCAGTCATGTTAGCTCATTTTCCACTGAGAGCTGAGTGTATTCTTCTCATCGGTTTTAGCGGTTACAAGGTGAACAGAGACATTTTGTACAGACTGCTCCCTCTCCATAGTCAGAGGGCCTGGCCAGCAGGACGGCGAGCAGCCTCCTCTTGGAAGGAAGGAGGTTAGGATGATGAGTTGGCCCTTGCTCGAGTCAGATCATCAGCAGCCGTTCCACACCCCACTCTCTTTCCGATGCCAGCAAGACATACCCAGCTGAGACACACGCCGCTTCATCTGCCTCGTACAGCACGCTCTTTTATCCGCAGCCTTCATTTGAAATGCTAAGAGAGGCGCAACAGGAGGAAGCGTCTCGCCTCGGATCAAAGAGCTTCTTTGATTTGTCCCCTTTCTTTTTGTCTCTCTCTTTCTGTATGTGTGAGTGCAGGCATATTCATAAAGCAGGTGATCGCTATCCCGTACTCCTGATAAATTTGTGTCTTCTGTCTGCCATCTCCTCCTCCTTACTCTAATTGCTCTCCTTTCTTGTTCCACCTTGATCTTCTTCCTCCTCCTCCCCCCTCGGCACGCTGCTAAAACACAGCTATTGTAGTATCGCAGAAGTGCACAGATAAAGGCCTGTTCTCTGCTTTCATTCTGTTTCCTGTGCTCTCTCTCTCTGTTACATCCTTCTCTCCAACCCCCACCCTGTAGATAACAGGAGCCATATTGCTGGCAGTGGGAGTATGGGGGAAGTTGATGCTGGGCCCGTACATCTCTCTGATCGCCGACAACTCCACCAACGCTCCGTACGTCCTCATTGGCACCGGGACCGTCATCATCGTTTTTGGCCTGTTTGGATGCTTCGCCACCTGCAGAGGAAGCCCATGGATGCTGAAGCTGGTGAGAGGCTGTAGGAGGAAGGGCGGAGTGTTATGTTGCAACGAGAGAGAGGAGTGTTGTAGATGCTGATTAATTAGCCTCAGGTCACATGATAAAGGGAATAATGGTTGACCTCTATCATGTGGAGAGGGATCAGAAATCCAATAGATGCTGCAGGGCACTTTGGTCGGTTAATGGTGGTCAAGTGGGTGTGTTGAAGCGTGTATGTGTGTGTGTCTGTGTGCAAGCATATGCAAATGATACACATCTAAGGCAGAGGGTTTTCATGCAAACTATGCAAATCTCCCTCTTACTTCTTCTCTCTGTAGTATGCCATGTTTCTGTCGCTTGTCTTCCTCGCTGAGTTAGTGGCTGGGATCTCTGGATTTGTGTTTCGCCACGAGGTCAGCATGCAGTTCACCACATAACAACCTTTATAAATCTAACACAAAAGCACCAGAGCACTCTTATGCCGTTAATGTGTGTGATTGTGTGAATATATTTGCATGCTGCAGATAAAGGGAACCTTTCACAGGACGTACACTGACGCAGTCCTGAACTACAATGCTGAGGATGAGGCGAGCCGTGCTGTTGATAACCTGCAGCACAAGGTAAGTCCCTGACATCATCAAGGGACAAAGGTGGCAATATTCTGCATTTTTCTTCTTTATTGTCAATAAATTCCATGAAAAAAAAAAAAAAATTGGTTATCATTTTATGCTACTAACAAGTATTGCATGTGTAGCCAAAGCCTGATGTGGCTTTTGTCTGTGCTATAGATCTCCGCTGTTGTCCACAAACTGTTAAAAACACATCAATGACACATTCCTGCACTACAGTAAAAAAAAGGGCAGTTTAGTTTATTTTGACACGTTTCCTTACATGTAATAAACTAGCACACCAAATAGGTATTGATCTGCAGCTCAAAATAGACCCCAACAAATCCTGTATTTACTGTCTATTTCATTAATGTTTTCAATTACTACTTTAAAAAAATTGAAACTGTTTTTGACCCACTTTTAAAGATTTGCATCTTCAGTAGGAATGAATGGGTTTGGTTCTCAAGCGCCACATAAAAGGAAATATTGAGAGACCTTACACATTGTTGGTTTTGGTATAGAATATAGATATATAAAGCCAGCCTTATCCATGAATTCTGATGTGTTCTCAATGCTCTCTCTTATGTTTGTTTTTAGCTGCGTTGCTGTGGCGTGTATAACTACACCAGTTGGTTTGGCAGTGTGTATTACCCATCCAACGGCATTCCTGCCAGTTGTTGCTTCAACTCCTCTGACTGCAACCCAGAAGACCTCCGCAATGCAACTATAGCTCCAAACAAGGTCTACCACCAGGTCAGTATGTTATTGTATTGTCTATGAACGCATATGTCATCAGTCAGCAGATGACTGTATCTACATCTGACAGGTCCTCATGCACTTTTTTTAAAACCATCTCCCTCCTCCACACACTAACAAATGCCTCAGATACTCTCCCAGATATCCATCTTACCCCTAATTTGTACATATAACATGTCCCTGGACCCTCTGCGAACTAACCTGCCCCCTGTGTTTCAGGGCTGCTATGAGCTGGTCACTTCATTCATGGAAACCAACATGGCCATTATTGCAGGAGTGACGTTTGGGATCGCCTTCTCACAGGTAAGAGTTGATGCTGTGCAAATAAAAGGTGGCATGTGTGTTGTATCAGTATAAAGAAATCGTTAACGTGTTTGAAGTGGAGGCATAATTACTGAAAACAAACAAGACACTTGCTAAGAAGATCAACAGACTTAGTCATATTGCATTTTGTATTTTGTGCTCACAGTTTGGATTTGATAGGAAATGCACTTTACAGGGAAATTCCATTAAGTCAGAACCAGTGTACTTTGAAAGGAATAGGCAACTTTATTCCCCCTCCTTTTGTTAAAAATGTGACCTTATATTCCATTGACACAGTGTAGTATCTGTATTATAACACGTTTTCAGCAACTGTACATATTGTAGAAAAGTACATACTTGTAGCAATAACCTTTCTACAACACGGCAGAAAAACAAGAAATTACATCTTCATTTTGAAAAAACTAAATAGTCACTTGCACAATTTTTTATCTCAAATTAACCAAAGCCCTTTCCTGTGTATCTTTCAGCTGATTGGCATGTTGCTGGCCTGCTGTCTGTCCAGGATCATCACAGCTAATCAGTATGAGATGGTCTAGCTGACGTGACGTGGCAGGTGAGAGACACTCACACACAGGCAACCACACATAAGTAGAGTTAAAGCTGATATAATCAATATTTTTATATCAATGAAGAATTAAATTACTATATATATAGTGTGATAATAATCTTTTTTATCACTTTCAAACTCAAAGCATTTTAGTGCCCTTCACCACTTTGTTTTGGTTTTTGTCACGTGGCTAGAAACACATTTCCAAATACATACAAGTGTTAATTCGTTGGCCGTAACATCTTTTTAAGTTGATAATAAGCTAATGTGTTTTTGGCTTGTGCTGTTGTTCCCAAGTGGCCAAGATGCAGGTTTTATTCATACATAGATAACTTTTTTCTTTTTTTTTTTATGTTCTCTGGTCCATCCCTCTGTTTGTCCATCCCATTCTCGTGAACGCGATAGTTCAGTAATGCCCTGAGGGAATTTCCTCAGATTTGGTACAAACATTCACTTGGACTCAAGGATGAACTGATAAGATTTTGGTGGTCAAAGGTCAAGATCACTGCTACCCCACAAAACACGTTTTTAACAATAACTCAAGAATTTACACAGCAGTTATGACAAAATTTCACACAAATGGTTCATATTTTATGTTTCTGGACAAACAGGGATGTAAGTTGAAGCTAGTCTGAGTGGCAGGGTCATACAATCACAAAGCACTAATTCTTGTTTCTATGTGTTTCTATCTTTTTAGGGAGATGAAGAGAAGAAGCAACAAAGAGCCTTGAAACATGACGAGTAAATTCCCGAAACACTATCACACGTCTGAATAGGAATTTACCTCCCTCCGTCTCTCTGCCTGTGATCTTAATGTAATATCTTAATGTATCTTATTGTAAAGCACCATTCCTTGACTCACTGCTGTTGCATCAAAGCTTTCTATACCACACATCACACTGCCGCTTGATGTAGAAGTTGCTCATTAGCACATATCTTGGATCAGTACAGCCTACAACAAGCAGGTAGACCGGAGTTGTCTGGGTCGACAGCGGTGTTGGTCTCAGATAGGTGATTGGGTGCAACTTGGCTTCTCAGTTGGATGCAGCATGCTCCACCGATCGTCATCAGAAGGCTACTGCACATCTTTGTACAGAATGACATTACTAAAGCTTGAAAGTAATACTTTAATAGACGGGTTTAGTTTTGAATTTGACTTTGCTATCGCTCACCATTGTATATACCTATGGTTGTGACATTTTGTGAACTGATTGAGTACCGGGGATGATATTTTAAGTTTTTATGAAAAATTTGGAAATCGACAAAAGAAAGAATAGAGAGAGCTGTTGGAGTATTTTTATCTGTAGACAAAGTGCGATATTTTTTTTATATTTAATATTTAATTTAACTTAATTTAGTACCAGTATTAGTTTATGGCTTTAGTCTAGAATAAGACCACAGATACCAAATGTGAATCTTTCCTGTCTGTCCTCCCACAGTAACATAAAATAATAGTAAATTTTACCGGAACTTACACTTCTTAATACATTATAAATGATATTTAATATCAGTTCATTCGTTTTACTGGGGAAGAGAAATATATTCATCTAGCGAACAAACAAATGAGGTCACTTATGGAACAAATCAATTACTCTTTAGACTAAAGGCCCTGTCACACCAGAAAGTGAGGAGCGGACAATAACTTCACACAGTCACAGTTTATCCAAGAGATGGATTTGTACCATCAACTCCTATCTCATAATTGTCTCTAAACTATTCCCATTTTGTGGAGCAGTTTATATTATAACAGACGAGGAGATTAAATAAAAGCGGATGGTGCAATTCAGCTAATGTGCTACAACAGACCCTTCGCACTGCAGATATTTTTGACTTGTCAATGTAGAGAAATCATAGGTGTAAATAATAACATTAATCATGGCTCCATTCCTTTGTGTCCCAGTAAGCATGCACAATACCAGGACCCTGAAACTGCCTCACCTAAATGGAACACAGCCATCATTTATGCTTTTAATTCCCTGTGCTTTTCCTGCTTTGACAACTCAAAATATCTGTCAGTAAAATGATCTATATCTTCCTCTGTTTTGGACTTTTCTCCCTAAAACAGCAGTTGTTAGTGGTCAGGACAGCTTGCTGTTGGTCAACATTGTAAATTCATGTGTTAAAGCTTAACAAAGTTGAAGTTGACTCAAAGTTTAAGCACAGCTTTAAAGTGCGTCAGTTTTAAATGCTGGTGTGACCGGGCCTGCCTCAGTTTGCTAAACAGAATAGTTGACCTGAACACGTTTCAAGCAAAGTCCAAACGGCCACGCACGAAGGTGGATTGGAAAAACCTGCTGTCCTGAAGAGCGGCGCAACATCATAGAAATGGCATTTTGATTTGATACTCGATTTTACACTTGATTGTCAGATGAAAAGTAATGGAAGAAGTTGTGTGAAGAATGAAGAGAGATTGAGACAGAGCTTTAAATCCTAATTGTTAGATTGGCGGTTTTGGAAAGTTACAAAAATGATCAGACGTGGCGCCTCCCCATTAGAAAGATGTGTGCAAGGGGACAGAGTTTTGGATGATCCAACAAACACTCAATATGAAGTAGTAATGTTTTAGTCCTTGTCTTTCTTGTTTAAAAGAAACAGGAAATGTCACGATTACACTTAAAAGAGCAGTGAACAAGAGCTGATTTTTCTTTCTTTCTTCTTTCGTGCTGAGGTGTAGTGATGTAGGAGTATACCTGACATCACTGTTGGGTGTGGTCACAGTTGCAACAAAACAAGGATGTTCAATGTGACAGAGTTCAGCAAAACAGCACTTTTCAGCCTGCTAGGGTCATATCAAGTCATTAGGGTCATGAAATTCTTCTAATTGAAAGCAAAGCCAGCTGCCTGCTACAATGAGAGAAGTCGACATTAGAGATACGCGGGGACTCCAACAGTGTCCATCTAGTATTTACAGTATTCTATGTAGTGCATCAACATGCCTCCATCATCATCACCATCTGTAGATATGTATTGGAAATGTAATTTATATGATGTAATGTTTCTCATTCTAATATGCTAATATATAAATGTTGTGTCAGAGTTTTGATTCCGCACTTTGTGCTGTTAATCTGTATTTGTTTGATAGTTTATAGGAAAACACGCACTGACAAAATAATCGTGGCCAATGTTTTGTTGAGAGTAACGTGCAACATGTAGCTGTTTCAATTTAGCTGTATACTCATGATTTGGTTGGCATTACGTTTACAGTTTCACCAAGTGATTTTCTATCTCTCTTTCAGTGTGTGTGATTTTTGTTTTTGTTTTTTTCATCATTGTTTGACTATCCTCTTAACCCTGTGTGTGTAGTTTCCTTGTATGACGAGGCTTGTGTGTGTGTGAGAGAGAGAGAGAGAGTGTCTTGTTTTTATGGCTCCTGTTGTGTTCAACTTTAGTCAGTATTTCGTTGTGGCTTTTAAAAAACTTATTGCGTTTAAATTTGTACATTTATTTAGTGAATGTATGTTTTCCAACACTCTGAAACTTATTTTCCTCCCTCAAGCTTATATTGTCCTGTAAATACTAAATTGTAATACCATCCAGCGTACACATGGGGTCACCAGACACTCAAAATGCACCATGCTGTCTACTATTGACTAAGTCACCATCAGTGGTCTTATTATCAATAAATATACAGATAACAGTTGTGTTTAGCGTTTACTTCTTTTGCTATGAGACAGCTTTGTACATTTTAAACATAGAGTTAAAAGGTGTCTTATTACATGTAGCATATTTAACAAGGCTGGCTTGTTTGAACTGCCTGTGCCATTCTGACATTAAAAACCCTTCACAAGGCTTCATCGCACTGCGCTGATGTAGTGGCTGGGTTATAATATGAACATTGTATTTTAATGACTTATCAATAGTTTTACCATTTAGAGAACACAAAAGGTGATTATTTAAGCTGTCCCCACACTTAAATCGGGACAAGCCATATCTTTAGCTTCAGGATTAGTGTTCGGTATCAGGTCAAAGGTTAAGGCGTGTTAAACGTAGGCTAAGTTGTATGACATGAATGAGGAGAAGAAAACGCACCGTGGAGCTCTTCATTAATTTGGTGTGAGACGACCAAAAGATGGGACTTGTAGATCTAGAAATAGACTAGCAGGGTTTTTCATTTGCTCTTTGTTTCCTGACCATCACATCTCAGCAGTGTGGGTTCTAAAAGGAAACAAGAAAGAGCTACATATAAATAATTATATAGTGGATATTTATGACATCTACAGACAATTTCAACTTGGCTGCAAATGACAAAGGGAGAGACTGAAGAAGATGGATGTTGGGTCTCATAAAATCAGAAAAACCGACAATTAAAACAGTGCTGTTTTATTTTTGTAAACTTAGTGTTAATATATAAAATAGAGTACCTGACAAATTCAGACTGAAAAATTACCTTGAATGAACATTGAAAAAGTCAGTGGAAGCTAAACTGAGACTAATTTCACCTTTTATTCGGATCCAAATGGGGAATAAGCTTCTACTGTTCACAAAAAAAACCCTGTATTGCCAAATGATGGAGAGACATCCCGTGAGCCAGCTGGTCATCAGCCTCATCTCCTCCAACAAAAACAAAGGAAACTCCAATGCTGTGGAACAGTCGATGCTGAGGGCAGAATTGACTATAACTTCAACCCAACCTGGACAAGCAACCCAGAGGAAACAGGCAGTCACTGGCTTCTTACGAGAGGTAAGGCAGAGCAACACTCTCTGCTACACATTGCAGCATGTGTAAGGTTATTTGTTTGTTTTGTTTTGTTTTGTTTTGTTTACCAAGAAATAGCTCAAACAACAAGAATTTCACACACTTTAACAGCAAAACAAAATGATGTTGCCATAAAAGCAGAAATAAGGCGGCCTGAGGGGAACCAGCAGAACACATGAAACTGTAAAGCAGTCTTTTAGAGATTTATTTTAGCTCCTTTCTGCTCTTTCTCACCATTACCATCAAATGTAATTTCACCCTATCATATACTACACTCTTGCTAAAACTCATACAGTCTAATATAAGTCCTACCTTCATGGAGTTTATAATGCTCAGTTTTTTTGAAACTGTTAATTGAAGTCTATGATCATTAGGTTTTAGATAGGCTACTTTGTAATAATGTTTATATTTTATACTAACTTGACTTTTTTTCAGTTGACTTCGCGAAGCAAGTTTTTAGCCCTCGACTTGATCACAAACTGAATATCATCGTCGTCCACGTGATGGCGCTTAGGCATCAGCGGAAAACGGAACTGTAGCGAGAGGGAAAAATAAGGCGAAGCGGCATGTGTCGGAGATAGAGCAACACAC